ATCCAAAAGCATTTAACAACCACCAGTACTTCAACGGACTCACTGCAACAGAATTTGAAAACTACTACTCTCTAGCTGTTAACTGTCACTTTATCTTTAACGGAAAATGTATCAGCAAATTGATGGTGTGGCTATGGCAGTCCATTGGGCCCTCTCTTTGCTGATATATTCATGTCCTTTCACGAAAAATCCTGGCTCAATAATTGTCCTTCTTCATTCAAACCACTACTTTACCGACGCTACGTTGACGACTGTTTTTACTTTTCACCTCCGATCACGTCCCTCTCTTTCTTGACTACCTGAACCGACAACATCTAACATCACATTCACAACTGAAGTCGACAAAACAGAAAGCTCTCATTTCTTGACATTGATATCTCTCGTACTAATGGAAATTCACCACTTCCGTCTACCGCAAACCTACTTTCACTGGCCTCTTCACCAACCCACAGCTTCATCCACTTACTTACAAACTTTCATTCTCCTGCTTACCACCGCATCTTCAATCTTTGCTCTACTTACGAAAATTTCATACAACTCGAATTTACCAGAAAGTCACTCACCAAAACGGTTTTCCTTCACGTATAATTGACCATCACCCGCTTCCTTAACAACACCTTTGCCCCTAAACCACCTGTCTTGACTGCTCACAAAATGCCCATCTATTTCTGTCTTCCTTTCACCGGCATACACTCCCTTCAAATTCGCACACAAATCAATAACCTTTGTGCCAGCCTTCCACATATATCCATTAAATTTGTTTTCCGCCCTTCTCAACGTATCTCTTCTTTCTTCCCCTTTAAGGACAAAATTCCCAAACCTCCGAGATCTGGTGTAGTCTATTTATTCAAGTGTCGAAGCTGCAACGCTTCGTATGTGGGTCAAACCACACGTCATCTACACACCAGATTTTCGGAGCACTTGGGAATATCCCCCCTTACAGGCAACCAAGTTTCCCACCCTGCATCATCAAGCATTCTTGCTCACATTAACGCAACTGGACACACCCCCAACTTAGACGACTTTAAAATAATCTCCTCTTCCAACGATACTTATGAACTCTCCATCCATGAAAGCCTTCTAATCAATAAATACAAGCCTTCACTTAATGTGCAAGGAAACTCCATTCCACTTAACCTCTTTTAATTTCTCTTCATTTCACTTCCAAACTTTCTTATCATGTATCCATTCGACACCGCTTCCTTTAGTAGTAATTTAACACCTTTTTGTAAATATAATACCTTGTCTTAACGTCCTATTTATTATTTGTCTGAAGATGTCTTGAGTAAAGACGAAACGTCACAATAAATTTAAATTTTACAATTTGTTTTTTTTTTGGTCTATTTCTATGGCTCTAATCAGAACTTTATGTTGGGCATTAATTTTTATCACACGTATTCGATTTCCGCTCGGCAAGTCTCTCGCTACAGTCATAAAAAACATTTATTTTCAATAATTACAATGGAATCAGTCATTAAAAGCTTTCCAAAACATAAAATAATTACCATTTGCAATTATGCGCCACAACACGGTACGAATTATTAAATAGAACAGGTATCTATAGAGTTGCGAAATATTAACGGTAAACTGTTTACAAGAAAATACGTAGCGCTCCGTTTTCGTTCGACCACGTTTAGAAAGTGTGTTCATATCGATCCCGAAAAGTGACGTTTTCAAACAATTCCGCTCCGGCGGGGTATAAACGCAACACGGTTTCGTTACTTCTTTGCGCCGTATTCAGACCGACCGGAGTAGTGTAAACGTAGTCTGACTTTGGTGACTATAGCATATTTCATATTGAGTTGCATATTTTAACTTATGATTAAAAACGTCGCATCAAATTTCAAAAAAGGCACGACATAATACATGTCGTTATGTAAGCTACACATGCTATAAAAGCTATGAAAAGAACATATACTCCATGCATGTACATACTATTCATGCTACAAACACCATTTACTCTACATAAAGCCTACTACTATACACATTATGCACACCAGGGGCTGGTTGCATGAAGCCTGATAGCGTTATCCATTGGATAGTACATTTTTCAAACTTGGTAAAAAGTTAGTCATATTTTCTTTACGATGATGAAATTTTTAATTCTAGAACCAATGGATAACGCTATCATAGCTTGAGCAACGGCCCAGATACTACATAATATACACACTATACACATTATACACACTATACACACTCTGCTGCCTATAGACACACTATACACACTATACACACCATATACACTACATATACTATAAACAATATACACACTATATACTGTAAAGGCTTTAAAAAACATATACACTGTATACAATATTTAATACTGTCTGATGATGTCTTGGGAGTCAAGACGAAACGTTACGCTACTAAATAAATATTTCTTTTTATACGTCATTTTTGTATTGAATGGCTCTTTTAAAAGCACCTTGCTGGGCTTTAATATTTGATGGAAGTAAAACAGAATAGGTAGTGATGAATGAACAGCAAAGAACGAGAACAGTCTTTACACTATCTAAAATATATAAGAAATAAGATAACGTTTGTCAATGTAGGTAGTGATGAATGAGCAACAGAGAACAAGAACCGTCTTTACACTATCTAAAATATGTAAGAAATAAGATAACGTGTGTCAGTGTAGGTAGTGATGAATGAACAACAAAGAACGAGAACAGTCTTTACACTAACTAAAATATATAAGAAATAAGATAACGTATGTCAGTGTAGGTAGTGATGAATGAACAACAGAGAACGAGAACAGTCTTTACACTATGTAAAATATATAAGAAATAAGATAACGTGTGTCAGTGTAGGTAGTGATGAATGAACAACAGAGAACGAGAACAGTCTTTACACTATGTAAAATATATAAGAAATAAAATAACGTTTGTCAGTGTAGGTAGTGATGAATGAAAAACAAAGAACGAGAACAGTCTTTGCACTATTAAAATATATAAGAAATAAGATAACGTGTGTCAGTGTAGATAGTGATGAATGAACAACAAAGAACGAGAACAGTCTTTACACTATCTAAAATATATAAGAAATAAGATAACGTTTGTCGGTGTAGGTAGTGATGAATGAACAACAGAGAACAAGAACAGTCTTTACACTATCTAAAATCTATAAGAAATAAGATAACGTGAGTCAGTGTAGGTAGTGATGAATGAACAACAGAGAACGAGAACAGTCTTTACACTATGTAAAATATATAAGAAATAAAATAAAGTGTGTTCATTCTAACCAGTTTCATCTCCAGTCAATGGAGGTAAAGTCATTCTGTAATGAAAACCACTGCAACATTTCTACGCAAATAAAAAAAAAACAGCAACATTTAAATAATCAACTTTTTTGTTCAGAGTATTACAACAAACTACTAAAGCAATAATTTTATCAAATACGAACCAAAATCGCTGAATGTCCATTACTTTCCATTAACCCTAAAACATACGGCTTTCTCTCATCTTCTACCAATGTATTTACTAAATAAATAGTACGTCATCTTTTTAGTAAACTACATCCATCTAACCCTAACACTAACCCTAGAACGTACGGCTTTCTTACATCTTCTACCAATGCATTTACTAAATAAATAGTACGTCATCTTTTTAATAAACTACATCCATCTAACCCTAACCCTAACACTAACCCTAGAACGTACGGCTTTCTTACATCTTCTACCAATGTATTTACTAAATAAATAGTACGTCATCTTTTCAGTAAACTACATCAATCTATAAATTAGCAGCCAACAATCGCCATTTATAAACCAAAAGGAGACTATATTTACGTACGTTAAAAGTTTTACAAAACAAAAATCCATAGTTTTATTCAAATCAAAACACGAAGATCTAACCAGGATTTTGCCACTATGAGGACATCTTCAAAACAAGTCTTTCAAAATCTATTTCGCTATAACATAGTTTTCAGTAATTTTTAACCACCAGTCGTGCGCGCACTTGTCATTTTCCCAATCAAAATTTTCTTCGTGGAAAATGGAAATCGGCATAGTTAAATCAATGTTCTATTATTGAATTTCTTTCCAAAAACAAATCGGTTATCTTGCGTTTATATGTTTTGGTACAGATCAAAGAACGTTTTCTTTACCGTAGCGACCGCTTAGCTAAAAGACCGAAATTTGTTTGCGAACGAAACCGTCTTATATGATATGTAATGGCGGAGTTCCTATCAGCTTTTAATTATCTTTCGTGATAGCTAAGTGTTTGTTTTTCTTTTTCATTTTAGGAGTCTTGAATTCAATGACGTTTACCTGAATTCCCACTCGTGTTGTCAAACGTTGACGAAGGTTGCCAACTTTGGCTTGAGTGAAAAGGCGAAGCCAAAACAGTCTGATAAGAATAAAAGACAGATTACCGATCAGCCTTTCTGTAATTGAGTACTTTTTAAGTACTACTTAATTTGTAATAGTTTAAAATGAAACGGATCACTGAATAGTGAAGACCACCTACATGCATAGAACATCATCTCCTGTTATTTTTTGTAAGCACTAAACCACATTAACTCGACTCTTAGCCAGTAAAAGCACACAAACGAAAACTTCCTGGACACATTTAAAGTAGGAGACAAAATATTGGGGCGAAAATTTATCGAAGGGAAGAGAGAGAGAATTGCACAGAGCACACACAAAAATTTTCAGAGATAACATTCTACATACGCTAGTATTCTGGGATTTTAAGTATGGTACGTAAATATAGTCTGCATGATGCTATCAATGCGATGAATGAGGAAAAAATGGAATTTAAGTATGATTTAAATGAGACTTCAGGACCAAAGATCGCTCCTACATCATTCAATTATCAAAGTTTACCTCAGATAAAAACGATAATTGCGAATCCTCTTGATTTGTTATATCGTTTTGAATTATAGTTACCAAGCTGTTCAATTTGATGTCACAACCCTGGGAAAAAAGTAAATTTTAAAACCGTCATCGCTCATACGCAGCACAAGTTAATAATAATATAAACAGTATCGATGACGCAATGATAGAACAGAGTATATAGATGTATGAACTATTTTTTGGCATTTACACAATTATGACTTTTCAATACGCTATAACAAATTATATTAACCTATAATATCCTAATTGAGCCCCGTAACATCCTAACTGTAACCTATAATATCCACAACTGGACAAATCATTTTGTTTTTCTCCTCCTATTAGCGTGCTTAACCACTGAATATTAGCTAATCAAAGACATGCATGTCCTAAAGGTACATTCAACGATTCCATTATGCAGATGGATACATTACCTTATGTTTGCCAGAGTATAAAGCCAACGTGTTGTCAGGAGAAAGGACGAGAATCATGTTAAGGCCCTATAAAAATATCTAGTTATGACGTATAAATCACAAATAACTCTGCAATACATCACGACAAACCAAAGACGTACGGCAAAAAGACTCCCAGTAATGCTCCCCTAAGTTATGCCTGCTTAACTTCAAATTCAAAAGACTTTAAGAGCAAAATTAATGGTTGTGAAATTCTAAAGAATAAAACTTTACTTATCAAGTTGCCTCAAAAGTGTTTGGAAATGTAGCTACATCCAAAAACTGTTAAAATGGTCAAAATGTTTGAGAATAACCTCGTTAGTGAAATCAATGTAACTAAAAACAATATTTACAGTGGAATTTTTAACTTTACAACACAGCCAATATTTTCAAAGAAAAAAGACCGACTTTTGATTTGAATAAATTTAGGAAGCCCCTCAGAGGTAGTTGCATGAATAACGCAACAGAAACGCCGAATAAGCACATTTGTTTAAACTATACCCAATTTTATCCTAAATGCCTGCTTTGCTTCAGTAACTAGGGAACTACAGGCTGGAGAAACGGCAACACAGTGTACTTTAGTATGCCAATACTTCAAACAACATTTCAAACAGACGTTTACCAGCACTAGCTCATATTTGCAAGAAATCATTTCATCAACTGACACAGGATTTACAAACCTTGATGGGGGCAGCATCAATGGCTGATATATCAAAAGTAGAACCAAATATCACCTGGCCAGCTCTTTCACCACAGCTAAATTTTGTAAGTCTAAAAATGAGGTAATTTCTATGAAGCCAAAGTAAATTTTGAAGAACACCTTATGGTAGTATGCACATGAAAGTACTAAAAGTAGCAACACGCATTTAGCACGTCCTAAACTAAACGTTTTTACTTCATCGCGACAGAACGAAAACAATAATGATATCACTGAACGAGCGCAGTAAATGCTTTGACATTGTAAAAAGACTTCACAGCGTTCATAAAATAAGTGCAGGTATATAAAATTACTTAAATGCAAAAAGGCACCATAAACATGTTTGACAAACCATCGCGTACCTTAATTTCGATACATGAGGGACAAGAAAGCAAACATATTTCACGCCACAAACATCAGTTGCTATAAATGCTTTACTAGCTTCTCCTTTGCTGGCGTGTCTAAATAAAAACATAAAATAATTTAGAACTTTGCCAGTCACTTCATTCTCTAAGGATATTCGACCAAGTTTGTCATATTTTGACGATATACAAGACAGGGGCCGGTTGCACAAAGTCTGGATAGCGTTATCCATTGCATAGTTAATTTTTCAAACTTTTAAAAAAATATTTATAGTTTCTTTACGATAATGAAACTTTATAATTCTAGAACAATATGGTATTTCATTGATTGTCGACTTCAAATCGTAGATTTTCATCTTTCAAGAAATTTTTGAAGCATTTGAAAATAAACTAAATGGTTTGAACCCGGGAGTATCGCTGTATGTTTGTAAATGTAGATTGTCCAGGTTGGTATAGACCTGAGAAGGACTGTTTTTGTTGTTGTTGACTGAAGTTTCGACAACCTTAGCGGTAGTCATCTTCAGAGTCAAATGAGGAGTGAACGTCTTGTTAGCCGCATTTGTTATCTGGTTCTTACGTCCTACTTCTAAGTCCTTCCCAGGACTATACCAACATGGACGATCTACATCTACAAGCATTTGAAAGTATAGCTATCCAGTGGATAGTGCCATTCGGCTTCGTGTAGCAGGTTCCAGAACTGTAAATGACTTCGTTGCGAGTAACAAAATCATAAGTAATTGTTATATTTAAGTGGAAATATAAAGAAAAACAGTTATATCTTGCACTGAGGTAACAGTAACTAAAGCTACTTTTGCTTTTTATAACAATGACACTATAACGCAATGATTTTTGAGTTATTTATCTGATCGCTTAAATGTAGTGAAAGAAAATAAATCAACATCCCAGAAAAATGGGATCAATGGATTTATTAAATCAAATCCAGCTTTAAATCCACAAGTGCAGCTTATGAAAGGCTATTTAATTGTGCTGGGTTCATTTTTGGCCAAAAAAAGGTTCGAAAAATTATAATTTGAAAATTTATCTACCCGTTAAGTTAAACAAGAAAAATTGCGCAGTGACTTAGTTTGATTGTAATGTTTCATGTTGAAGTTTTTGGAGAAAATTGCTTCCTGATTAACAATAAATATATCTAATTAATTCAATGATTTGTATAACGTAGGTCGTGGAGGGTAGCACTTTCTATACCTGACATTTGAAACTTCCTCCCAAATATGATCCAGACAAATCTCCGGTTCTAGTGGTTCAATAGTGTGCCAGAATGTGTCTTCGTGGAAACTGTTGGCGACAGTTGCAGAAGATCGAAAGATATCAGGAGATTGAAGAATGGAAGATGAATATACTAAGAATGAGATAAACTTTCATCAGATCACTCTCGATGGAAGGGACTAGACTGAACTATTCGACGATCTAAGTTTCAACATCAGATCACTCCTGATGAAAACACCAGACGGGAGTAAATAAAGACTCAAGTTTCAACACCAGATCACTCCTGATGAAGACACTAGACTGGAGTATATAAGAACTCAAGTTTCAACACCAGATCACTCCTGATGAAGACACTAGACTGGAGTATATAAGAACTCAAGTTTTTACATCAAACCAACTTCTAATCAGACAATAAAACATCAAGACACAACCATTGTCGATGCACGTAAATAGATAGTAGATACTTCACCTAAACTGTGCTGACCAGATGGTGATTCAAGCAAAGTTCTGCTTGAAACTAACCGCGACATTTGTGGCGATGACATAAATGGCGATTGTGGTAGACGTCCTTGACCTTTCTCTACAGGAGACGAAGTACGAGTCACGGTCATATGTGCTGGAGAGGATGTGGTCAACGAGAGTCGGGAGTAGGCGCTTGGTTTTAATATTGGAGTGGGAAAACGTTGATTGGTTGGATGAGGAAGTACATAAGACGAATCATTGTTCGTTGGAAGTTCAGGATACTCCTGAACAAAGTAAGATACATCATTATTCTTTATATATTCTGAAAAAGGCTTCATAGTTGTAAATTTGACTTTTTTGAAGGGAGAAAATGAGAAATTAAAAATTGCAGTTAGCCGTACAGGTGAGGAGTTTAATACGACAGAAAATAAATATATGAAAATGTTCCACACACCCCCCTCCCCAATATCGAGTTTGCTACGTCACTAAGACCTACAAGTCGTAGTGCAAAGTAGCATTGTTAATTCTTCATACGCAATAGCTAAAACATTCCGGTTTGTGAATATTGCATAAGGTTGTGAGAGAAATCTTAATTTTATATTTTCTTAAGCGTGGACATGTTCTTTAGAGCAAGGTTTGCATAGTTAGCTTAAAACAATTGGACGTAACACAGCTACCTAGAACCATAACATAAGATATTCGTTGTGGGATAATCTAGCATTCACACCCTTGATTACTGAAGAGCAAAAGTTAAAAATATTGTTGTTAAAGAAATGTAGATCGAAGACCGAGATAAAAATGATAAAAATTGTGACGGAATAAATCAGTCTCCACTTATTCAAAAATACAGATGATGACTTTTAAGCGGGAAAGCATTCAAAAACTGTCTTTTCATTCAATTTTCTTTCAAAGAGAGGTATAACAAAATCCCAAGCGCAATATTAATCGCAAAGCGAACTATTTCTCATCCTTCAAAAGCATCCTACCTCCTTTTTTGCTTCTCGTATCAACCAAAGAGAATGAACTCCGATGAAAGAATCGTAGGTAAGAAGTAATGGAGGATCGTCGAACGTGAAAACGACATGTAGAGTTTTATCGCGCATGAACGAAGTGTTTCCTTAATGGAAAATTCAAAAACATATTACCTTAAGCGATGATAAACAGTGAACTTATGGTGATTTTGATACAAAATTTTTACTGTCCTAAAAAATGTCTCTTAAATAACTGCAGTGCATTGGTGATTTTCTTTAACAATGTTTGCATTTGTGGAACTATTGAAGTTTTTTTTTGAATGGTAAATGAGAAAATACAAGATCTTTCCAATTTCATTGGGTCAGTCCGTTATGAAGAGCAATATTCAAGAATGAATCTTCATCGGAATGATATAGTTTCAATAACGTTTTGTGCCCAATGTTCAAAGAGTTTAAGGCTCAAAAATAGACTCGCTGTTATAGCAACGCAGTGTATGACCTTAAGAAGACCTTAGTTCAACGTAAACCGTCCTCAGATCATAGAGATCATGAACGACTACGAGACAACGTTCTGACATTTTGCTCTAAACTCAAAGGATTCATTATTTACCCGCATAGCGTCCAATAACAGGTCTTGGTTCATCCAATGGGCTCAATAAACTGAAGATGGTCGGAATCTTCTTGCTACATGTAAAATATAAATGATCAACAAGTTCAAGAGGTCATAAAGCAGACGGGGTAAAAACAAATTGCAAATTAAGAAATATATAATGTAAATATTTGAAACCAAAATGAACAGAAGTTTTACGCCTTTTCCTTAATGACAAACAAACTTTTCTATTTATGTTATTGTCGATTTCAGTTAACTTTTCAAATGGCGGTTGCCAAGTTACTTTCTAATTTTGCCAACTACATTTCCAAATATGGAATATTCGTTATGAACTTGTCAACTTGAGTTGACAAGTTGTGTACTTGAGTAGTGAAGTTGGGAACTTGAGTACTGAAGTTGGGAACTTTAGTACTGAAGTTGTGAACTAAAGTTGCGAAGTACAAGCAAACGCGAAAGGTCTTTGTACCCTGTAAACATTTGGCAATGAATCCGTTCAGTTAGCAAGGAAAAGCTTTACCAATAGAAGTAAGAAATGAAATACTTGAAAGGTGGTTAAATAACCAGCGTTTGACAAACATTTTGAAACAACTAAATCTACCGTATAAGACTATATCAAATACAATAGACAATAAAGTCGTACACAAATAAGTGCACGTTAAATTACGTTAAATATTTGAAATGTGGTTAAATAACGAGCGTTTGACAAACATTTCAAATATAATAGATCTATGGGTAGACACTGGTTCTATTGCACCTCGCCAGAGCGAACGTGATGTTCGAACCACGCGTACAGATGACGTTATTGCATACACTGAATATCTAAAAATTAATAAACCATCTATTTACGCTAAAGAGATTCAGCAACACCTAGAAAATAACAAAGTTTGCCTTCCAGCAAACGGATTAGAATTGCTAAAGCTTTTCCTTGCTTACTGAACGGATTCATTGCCAAATGTCTACAGGGTACAAAGACCTTTCGCGTTTGCTTGTACTTCGCAACTTTAGTTCACAACTTCAGTACTAAAGTTCCCAACTTCAGTACTCAAGTTCCCAACTTCACTACTCAACTTGTCAACTCAAGTTGACAAGTTCATAACGAATATTCCATATTTGGAAATGTAGTTGGCAACATCAGAAAGTAACTTGGCAACCGCCATTTGAAAAGTTAACTGAAATCGACAATAATAACATTGAAAGTATCTCATTGTTTATTTCGATTGATTTTGTAGTAGGTTATTGGAGGTAAGCACAGTGCTGTCAGAGACCCTCCCACCCTCACAAAATATATTCACTTTGTGCTCTCTCATTGTAGGGGGCTTTTCAGATTTTGAGAGCCGTTTTTTGACCATTTTAAATTTGGATTCGGAAAGGTTTTCTGATTTTATGATCATTTTGAATTATACATGATATATAAAAACATTCAACAATGCATTCTCTTTAAATATCTTTTAACCCACCCACCCCTCCCAAGAGGAAAGATTGAGAGAATTTTAACAAGGCGAATAAAACTTTGATTATGATGATTGTTTAACTGACCTTTTCTGTTGATCTGAATCTGAAGGCAAAACATTTCTCTCTAAAATCAAACCACCATGAATTGCAAGAACCTTTGATACCTATGTAATAAGTATGGTGCATGTTATGTGAGCCTTCAATTTCATGGTCAGCCCTTTATCCCTCCTTATTTACTAATAAACCATTATTCACCTTCCTGACTACCTAAAGGGACCATTATTCACCTCCCTGACTACCTAAAGAGACCATTATTCATCTCCCTGACTACCTAAAGAGACCATTATTCACCTCCCTGACTACTTAAAGGGGTCATTGGTGACCTCCCTGACGGCCCTAAGAAACAATTGAAAACCCCTGACAACCTTAAGAGACCATTGTTGATTCCTTAAATACCTCAAGACACCATAAGTGACTCCATTGACTACTCCAAGAGTCCGTAAATGACCCCCTGACTACGAACTACCCTACTACCAACCTTAAAAAGTAAGGGTGTTGACTCGATGTTTCCACTTTGTGAAAAAGCCTTTATAACATCTTCTTCAACAATACAAAGACATCCTTCTTTCACTAAAACATTGGCAACGTGTAATGACATGAGCTTTAGAATGAAATTTGAAATGTTTTAATTTACAGAAAATTCTTGATGATGGAGTTTGCACTATGCTCAATGTTTCACAAGAGTCTCAAGAAATTCATTCTTATATCGAAAATGCCTCGTCACTAGTTTGCATAACAATGTGCTCCAAAATATCAAACAGCTTTTACAAGCAATTTTTAACACCACTGTTGCCTTGTGTATCAATCATGAAACTCAGGGGTGTATTCACAAGATTTTTACAAGGGAGGAGGCTCTCGGGCATAAACTGGCAAGACGAACAAAAAAAATACTGTTTGTTACTGTTTGTAATGAGGTTACAGAGTAACCAAGGTTAATATCAGAGGAACCAGTTGTGGCCTGGGACCAAATGAAGTAGGAAGGTATATAAGTAACTAAGTGTAAATGGGCTACCCATTATTCAACACATTTGTAAGCAGAGAGCCCTGAAAAAAATTTTTATTATTTTTTTTCCATAGAAATGGTTTTCAATGTGATATGGTGCAAGTATGTGGTAGTCAAGTCCTGAATGCGAGTTGTTCTATTCAGGACCTGGACTCCAAGCAACCCAAAATGTGTGCCAGGTTGCTCAAGCTTGCACCTAACCATCCATGTGGCTTAAGTATGGTAACGATAAATATTAACAAACAGTTAAGATAAACAGTCATGTTATAGTAATCTAATAGCCTGCATTTACTGGTACATATAGGAATGATCAAGCCTATAAAATCACAAAATCATGAGCTCATTGGAGGTAAAAAAATTAAATAACTGCTTAACACGTCGAAATCATGAGTTGTTGAACAATTGTAAAAGAAGGCTGAGCACCCCTAACTTTACAAAAAACTCAAAAAAGGGGGGACTGAGTGCCCCCCTTCTATATACCCCTTGATGAAACTAAAGGCAGCTCAATTGAAAAAGAAAACTCATGTAGTAAAATGAAGTAAAAACTTAAACACAAGTTTTCAACATGGCTTATTGCTAGCAAAACTGCATTGACAGGCCGTATTAACTAATTTAAAACATTGAAATTAAAAACTTTTAAGATTTTATTCAAGCTGACACTTACTTGTGTCTTTAGTACGAAACACACACCACAAGGCATCTGTTATTGGTGATTCCACAGTGAAGGATTTGTGCAGAACTTTTGAGTCTCCAGTGCGTGAACTCCAAACAGCTGTGTGACCACAAACATAAATCTCATCTTCGATGTCATCAAAGTCCTCAAGAGAGTGTCTCAACTGCCAAAACTCTGTCTGTAAATAAAATAAACATTTGGTATCTGATTTAAAGAGCAGTTACATGTGCCTTCTGGCCACTTGCCCACTACCATGATCAGCCATCAGACTAAATGTTCAAATTTACCTTTTTTCTTATACTTTCATCGCCCCACGGTTCATGTAAGCTGTCACACTTTTCACCAAAAGTCTTAACACGTGGTTCGAGTCTGACAATTTCACGACCGTAGGGTACAAAACTGGAGAAATCACTGATTACAAACATTGAAATAAAAACATCGAATCCCTTGCTTGTAAACAAGTTACTTCGGTGTAACACGCCGCTTTAGTGCAGTTAAATTGAAAGTTCCTCGGTTTAAACTTTAAACTTGTACAGTACAAATATATTCTTCAATTCTTTCTGTTTTTGATTTACGCGGGATTTGAGCCCACGATTACAAACCTAGCCGGGAGCAAATACTTCCTTTAACAAAAAGGAAAATTCTTAAAATCGTGCATGAATGTGACATGTCTGAGTAAGGTACCGACATCATTTTCTCTTGCTTTACACATAAAATGCTAAAAAACTGCTATAGCTATCAAATTAGCGACCATTATGAATATTGCGGAAAATGTTGAAGCACATTGAAGTGCATCCTATCAAAATCATGACTTATGTAAAAGCGTAACTTTTTGTCTTAACTCTCAAGACATACTCCACTGAAGTAAGATTACCACTGCGAACGTTGTCGAAACGTCGCTAAACACCAACAACAACATGTCCTTCTCAAAACGGCACTGACCTTAATAATCTACATCGTCAAACATTTAACATATACCGTCATCTTTTTAATTCGGAATTTATATCTATTATGGTACCAGAATTTCTCTTGCAAACAAATTAAAGCAAGATTGTTTTACAAACAGAATTACCTGATTAGCTATCAAAATGATGGTTTTTGAATTTCTAGCCATTGAATTGTTGCGAAATTCATCCGATCAAATTTTATATGAAAGAGAAACATACAGCGATCATAATAAAGTAAATGGTTTGAACCCGGGAGTATCGTTACATATATGTAGATGTAGATCGTCCAAGTTGGTATAGTCCTGAGAAGGACTGTTTTTGTTGTTGTTGACTGACGTTTCGACAACCTTAGCGGTAGCCATCTTCAGAATAAAAATTTATTTTCTTTTTACTCTGTCTACACCAACAACAAAAACAGTCCTTCTCAGGACTATACTAACCTGGACGATTTACATCTACAAACATACAGCGATCATATTGACCATATATATTCGGATGAATTCAATAAAAACTCACGAAATAATACACCGATATAACAGTTTTTGTAAAACTATCATTTGGTCTATAGACCAGCGTTTTTATTTTACACTCATAGGCAGAAAGACAGAGGCCTCTTGGGAACAGAGTGCCCGCAAAACTGTTTTCCTGTAAGAATGAGTAATTGGCTTTACTCTCTTAGGAAAAGAAGCTTCTTTAAATCCTAAGTTGTTATAAAATTACTTAAAAAAAGAGTGTACAGTAATAATAAGCGCATGCTTTGACTACATAAAGAAATTTTTCACTGTGAGCATTTTTACGACGTCAAATATTTTTTGGCGAAGTCAAATATCTTGTAGATTGGGTCTAGGTCGCTGTTCACACGTTGTTCCTGTTCATTCTTTAAAGGGACCACAGTCTGCTGATTCACGATTTGAAAATTTAAACTGAAGAGGATTTTTCATGTAGCACAATAACACTTCCATTGTAGAGAAGTTGATTTAAGTAGCTAATATCGCCACATGAAAAGACAAAACATCATAGTGACAAGAATTAACGAAATGAGCTTTAGCTTTTGCCATAATCCTTCTAAATTAATCCATACTCCATTTATTTTATATTGAAAGATAATTTGTCCTAATATGATCGAAAATGCTTCCTATTACGCGTGTGGCATCTTCGTTTGGATGTTTGTCTGTGGGGTGTTCAACGTTTTGGCCTGGACCGACACAATAAATTCCCCCCCCCCCCTAACAATGACTTAAAGAAAAAAAGCGTTTACTTTAGCGAGCATTTGCTGTTTCAGTGATTTATTCGTGACAAAAAATTCAATGTGTACTTTGCAATGTATGATTAACAACAGGTAAAATCACTAACAATTTGTTGTGTAGTGTGACCTGAGTGTTTATGTTTACTTTTACGAGTCCTATTGAGAGAAAACTCTACCAATTGTGCAAACTTGCACAAAATGTTTTTCCTCTTTGGTGTTGATACACTCCATCACGAAATTTTCTGATGATTATTATTTCGAAGTCCAGAATGACCAACTGAGCAAACTTTGAATATTGTATTCACCAAACTAACACTATTTGCAAGGTGTTTGACCTCTTTGATCTTGATAGTTTCCTTTGCCACATTTTACAGAAGATGATGGATTATTTATCCAAGGACAATGACCAACGGGTGCTTAACATTAAGCTGTGAACTGATAAGCCAGAATAAAGCGTCTGCTTGGCAAAAGAATGAAAACCATCGTCTTTTTACGTCGAAATCAAGTAAGACGCCCCAAATTGTATAATTCTTGGAATTTATATTCTTTGAAGTAAAGTAACAGCAATTGATGTAACTGAAACAAACTCAAACTGGTACCAGAACGTCTCTTGCATGCAAATTACAGCAAGATTGTTTTACAAACAGAATTATCTGATTACAAAAAGGAAGGTTTTAGAGTTTCTAGCCATTGAATTGTTTCAAAATTCGTCCGATCAAATTTTATAAGAAAGAGAAACATACAGCAATCATTTTGAGCATATAGCTTTTTGATTGAATTCGGTGAAAACTCTAAAAATTATACACCGATAACAGTTTGTTTAAAACCGTCATTTTATTTAAGTCCAGCATTTTATTTCACACTCAAATGCACAAAGACGGAGGCTTTTTTTTCTTTCTTGAGATCAGACTACCCACAAAATGTTCGTCTGTAACAATGAGTGGGGATTTTGTCAAATGTGATTATTTCATTGCGATCATAGACCTTTGTGTTGAAAGTGATGAATGATTATTTATTGAACAATAGTTTGGTCGTTGGAAGAATTAAAGTATTATTTAAATTGTATCAGCGAGTTTTGTGGGAAGTTTTTAAACTCTTTATTAACAACAATTGAAGCAATTTATTTAATTATTTACCAAAGTTAACCTACATCATACTAAAGAATTGTTTTACATTAAACGATAAAACATTTTAAGAGGCAAACTCATAGTTCTGCCCTAATCCTTCTACAGCAATCTATTTAACTTCATTTTTTTATATTTGGAGATAATTTTTCATATAATGATCGAAAATGTTTGCTCTTAGATGGCACAAATCTACCTCTGCTGGGTATACATGGCATTTATTACGACCAATGCAATGAATTTCTTGCCCAACATGCCAATATCCAGTAAAAGGAAAGATCGTATTAGAGTCGCCCCTATACGTTACTCTAAGATTCAATCCCGTCACAATTCTGTCGACATACTTTGCAAATTCTTCGTTACCAACCCTAGATGAGCCAAAGGTTATTAAATCGACAGTATATCTAGCATTGACCAAATCAACTGCTGCCAAAGTCGCCATCGCTCCTCCAAGTGAATAACCTGTCACTAAAACTTTCTTGGGATGTTCTTGATAAAAATTGTTGACTTTTTTAAGCATTTCGTCTCTCAGCGGGCTATAAGCCTCAAAGAATCCAGTGTGTATTTTGCATCTTTGGCAGCTCGAATATCTTTGTTTGAAGAACTTGAGATTCCTAAACCAGTCCAGAGGGCCGTCAGAACCCTGAAATGATACAACAATCACTTCCCGGGTGTTTTCGACAAAACCTTTCATCCTACCGTTTTCAAATAATTGTGAATCATAACTATGTTTACTCTTCGTGTAGGCTTCATTTGACTTAATTGCAGCAAAGCGAATTTTCACGAGGTGTCGTGGTGCTCCATAAATTTCCTTGTTGGGTATTACAGGTCCAGTTGAGAGACAAAATGTACAAAGTGGGCAAGTTTTGCATGATATTTTTCCTCTTCGATTTTGATATGTTCCTTTGCCACATTGATAAATTCTACCAGAATGACAAAAATGACCAACGGGTGCTTCACAAGCTGAAGACTGATAAACCTGCATGAAGAATATCATGTTTAACAAAAGTATGAAAAACTTCATCTTTTCTTTGAAATCAATTAAGACGTTTGACAAAATGTACATAACAATCAGAATTTTTATCCTCTTCACGAAGCAACAGCAACTGTTCTATTTATATTCTCTCAATATCTGAAATTTTTTGACGTAAAATATCATATTTATTGACAGGTTCATAAAAAACTTTGCCCCATTACTGTCTGAGTTTCGCATACTCGACGCCCTTTAAATTAAGTGACAGGTTCATAAAAATCGATAAAATGTAAAATATAGAATGTGGAATTTGGAATGTTTTTGTGTTAAATCATAAAGTAGTATCTGTATTTACGAGTTCTAAAGACGCGTTCAATTTGCAATTTGAACATATTAATTCATGTAAGTGCACATTGTATGTTATAAGAGCGAATTTTGTGAGTTGCTTTCGTTCAAATGCTACAACTTGTGCATTTCTCCATTAGTTATCAACCACTAAAAACCGTCAACGTGCATAAAAAGCCGTAGTCTCAGTTAAAATAAATACAGATTCCTTATACAGAGAAACTAACATCTCATAAATAAGTATTGAACTTTTACATAAATAAGTATTGAACTTTTACATTAAAAAATATTGAACTTTTACATAAATAAGTATCGAACTTTTAAAAATGCCTTTTTCAACTGAAAACCTTACGCCCTTCTGCGGCATATTTAAAACTACGTTTACTTTACACCTGAGCAAAAAAGTGATGGCATAGTTTTACTGCGTTTATAATAATCCGTTTAAATTCTGCTACAGTTTGGGTAGTGTTAACACATATTGTCTCTTGCTGTCAAAATTAGTTAGTTGTTTGTGAAAGATGGCGCCGTTTGTTATTGGCATATTACTAGATGTTTATATCACTTGACATAAGTCATAAAAAACATATATTTTCAATAATTACAACGGAATCAGTGTGCTAAATATGTGTAGCGAAATATTAATGACTAACTGTTTACAAGACAATGCGTTGCGCTCCGTTTTCGTTCGACCACGTTTAGAAAGTGTGGTCATATCGCTCCGGAAAAAGGAAAATGTTTTCAAACAATTCCGCTCCGGCGCAGTATAAACGCAACCCGGTTTTGTTACTTTTTTGCGCCGTTTTCAGACCGATCCGGAGTAGTGCAACGTAGTCTGACTGTGGTGACTATAGCATATTGCATATTTTAACTTGTGATTATCGTCTGCTCATTGGACATACCGTCGCCGGTTTTCATCTAAATATTTTCACTCATAACTCATCTGCTACAAAGTGTTAAGTTTTGTTAACACCTACAAGTAGAGATATCACAGAGAACGATACGATCGCTATTTATAAACTACATCTCTTTATCCAAGACATTACGTAAAGTTCTATTTACTTACAATAACAGAAAGCCAGGGGCGGATCTAGAGTATGTCAAATCCGTCGCTCGACTGATGTTTGAAATTCAAAAACTACCTATTCATATTAATTAAAAATTCATCAATTATTCTTACTTTATTATCGCATTTACTTCATGATAAAAATCCGACTTTATTTATTATTGAAAACTAATGACTAATCCAATGAATATCTCGTTGGTAACCAGATCAGTTGAATTTTAATTGACCTGGAATAACCGACTGATAAGCGGGGTGGCTTGACTGGTTCAACAGATAAAGGAGTCCATGAACGCTAAAAACGCTTATTTTATTGGTCAATGGCCAGATCAGTGGACAGTCTGGAATGATCTCGACTGATAAGAGGGGTGGCCGGACGTATAAGGGAGTCCAATTGCTATCATACAATTGATTCATTTGAATATTTGTTTTATTGTGATTGGTTAGACGGATTTCGACTGATAGCCAACTGAACTAACATAGTCAAGCTCACTGTCTGTATTGTTGCTAGCTCGAAAAATGATAAAGGTTTTTATTCATATATGCATGTTTTTTTTTCATTAAGTTCTTTTGAAACCAATTGTTTCTTAGAGATTAAAAGATGCGTACATTAACATTGTCTCCCTCCCCCCACTCTTCTATACACGTTATACAGGCTATGCACAAGCCAGCCCTCTGGTTGATGGAAGTAAAACAAAATGTTCAATACAAAAAACAAAATAGTAATTCAAAAGCCTCAAATGTTTGTAGATGAAGGAATGTTTTCAGTTAGCAACAAGGTATTTTAGACTTTATTAGATATTCCTATTTATTATTGCTACAGGATCAAGAACTATAGGTGTCCAGAAAAAAAAGAAGAAATGACATCATAGAAATCATCTTATTTTTCTTCATTTCTACGTCTAGCCAATGAATTTTTCGAAATTAATCCAATCAATATTTATAAAAATGAAAAACATACAGCGATCATTATGAGCATATATTTGAACGCATTTAATGAAAGTTTGCGAAATTATACACCGATAACAGTTTGTGCAAAACCTTCATTTTGTCAATACCATTGTTTTATTTCACACTCACTCGCACAAAGACAGAGACTTTCGTTCTTTCTTGAGATTACCCACAAAAATGATGGTTTGTAACATAGAGGGAGTGATTTTTGTCAAATCTGATTGTTTCATTGCAACAATAGACCTTTGTGTGAAAAGTGATCAATGATTATTTAATCAACAATTAACAGTTTAGTCGTTAGAAGAATTAAAGTATTATTTAAATTGTATCACCTAGTTATTTGGTAGTCTTCACGAGCCACAATGATCAATCATTCAAGTAATTCATTCATTAACCAAAGTAAACCTATATCATACTAGAGAATTGTTTTACAGTAGCTAAAAGATAAAACGTTGTAAGAAACGAACTCAAGGTTCAGCTATAATCCTTCTACATTAGTTTATTTAACTTCATTTTTTATAAATGAAGATAATTTTTCATACGATGATCTAATAAGTTTCGCCTTGCATGCAACAAATCTACGTTTGCAGGATAGTAATGAAATTTATTATGATCAATGCAATGAAGTTCTTGCCCAGCATGTCGATATCCTTTATTAGGAATGACCGTAACAATGTCATTCTTGTACGTCACTCTAAGATTAATTCCCTTCACAATTCTGTCGACATATTGTGCAAATTCTTTGTTGCCAACCCTAGGTGCGCCAAAAGTTATTAAATTGACAGGATATCCAGCATTGACCAAATCAACAGCTGCCAAAGTTGCCATTGCTCCTCCAAGTGAATGACCTGTGACTAAAATCTTCTTGGGATGTTCTTGATACAAAGTGTTAACTTTTCTTAGCATTTCGTCTTTCAGTGGGCTATAAGACTTTAAGAATCCACTGTGTATTTTGCAATCTTGGCAGCCGCTATATGATTTTTTCAAGGTCTGGATATTCCTAAACCAGTCCTGTAGGCTGTCGGAACCCTGAAATGATACAACGATTACATTTTGTGTGTTTTTGACGAAACCTTTCATCCTGCCTTTGTCAAATAATTTGGAATCACGACTATGTTTTTTCTCCGTGTAGGCGTCACTTGATTCCATTGCAGCAAAGTGAATTGTTGACATATGTGGTGAAGTTCCATAATATTCTTTGTTGCGTCGACCAACGGGTGCATCGCAAGCTGAAGACTGATAAACGTCCACGAAAAACATCATGCTTAACAAAAGTATGAAAAACTTCATCTCTTTTCTTCGAAATCAAGTAAGACGTCTCAATATGTTTTGAAGTCAGATCTTTTCTCCTCTAAAAGAAGCAACAGCAACTGCTTTATTTATATGCTCTGAATATCGGTAATTTATGACGTAAAAATGTCATTTCGTGTTAGGTTCATAAAATATATTTGTCCCTTTCCTGTCTGCGTTTCAGCATAGTCGGCGCCCTTAAAGTGACAGGTTTTATAAAAATCTTTGCCGAAGTCGATAATAAAAATATTGAAGTCGAAAATGAAAATATCGAAGTCGAAAATAAAAATATCGAAGTCGAAAATAAAAATATCGAAGCCGAAAATAAAAATATCGAAGTTGAAAATAAAAATATCAAAGTCGAAAATAAAAATATCGAAGTTGAAAATAAAAATATCGAAGTCGAAAATAAAAATATTGAAGTCGAAAATAAAAATATTGAAGTGGAAAATAAAAATATCGAAGTCGAAAATAGGAAACGAAAGAGGAAACGAAAGCAACAGAAGTAACTAGAAGCAGAGCTTTTGTACTTACGATAAGCCAAAAATTCAAAACATAAGTAAAATATCGTAAATATTAAATATTCCGAACTACGAAAATTTTTTAGCATTCTGTTGTGGTCTTTCTCATATTGACAATGCCGCGAGGCAACAGCATTCACAATCTTTCTACTCTGCTGAATACCTTGTTTTTCCTTGAGAAGGAAAATTTCAAGAATAACTTTTTTTGGAAAATTGATTGTTCAATAAAAAATTTGCCAAACGATACGATGATAAAAGTTGCTTCTAAAAGCAGGAAACTCGACATTTTAGCCAGTAGAGAGGTGTGACAAGTGGATTCGACCAAAACTCTAATGTTCGAAATCACAATATATACAGAGCATTACAAAATGATAAAAAATTTTGTTTGGCTTGATGCCAAACCATGGCATCAAATTGTAAAAGTAGCTTCGCATTTATTCTATACACATTATAATGGCTATGCGCAACCCAGCTCTCTCGATAATAAAAGTCAAACAGAATATTGCCAAACAAAAAACATTCATAACAAAATAGTATTTCAAAAGCTTCACAAAAGGTCGTAAATAAAGAAATGTGTTTAGTTCTTAACCAAATATTCTAGAAGTGACTTCTTAACACAATATTAGATATTGCCGTGTTTTTATTGCACAGCACAAAGAACTAGGTGTTCCAAAAAAGAAATGACATCATAGAAATGATCTCATTTCTCTTCATTTCTTGATAAAACGCGCGTGACGACAAGCAATTTTAAAATGTTATGTGTCATCCCAAAGTGTCTTTATCATCATTCATTGTCCTACGATAGATGGCTACCACACAAGTTAATGGATCTTATCTTTGAAACATTTTTTTTTTTCATTTTTGTTAAGTGCTGACACATGATCCATCCGTTACTTCCAAGTTTAGTCCTAGAGCATGCATACAGCATCATTCAGGCTCACATCATTCCATAGTAATTTTTAATTGACAGTTGTGCAATTGTAGTCAAGGTCACATATCATCATGCAAAGTGTTCCTTAGTAATACTGTGTGTGAAATCAATTGATTAGCATAAATGCTTAAGTTTTATTTTCAATTAAAAATATCGTTTTTACGTGGTAATGGTCGTTGATTTCACTAGGCTTTATTTTGTATTGAACTCAATTTGACAGCCATTGAACTAAATATAACTGAACGGCTAAATTAGAGGCGTAACTAGAACGTTAATTGGGGGGGGGGGATGTACATTTATATATTCAGTTGTGCCCTACTGAATTCTTTTGAAATTCGTCAACGGCTTTTTGGATCCGATTGATTCGATTTCAACTTCTTGTTAACTAGTTAGACATTCCAATAATTTAAATATTTACAGTTGTGTAAACAGCCAATTGTGCTGGCCAGTACAATTATCCACATATATTTTCCTATTTTTTTCTTGTTTCCTAGTCGTTTTCAAATCTATGTAATTTAGCTATTTAATTTAGCCAGCCTTTGATCTTGTCGGATGAAAAAAAGAAGTTCTATTTCCAACCAATTTTTTAGATTGACGGATCCGACTGTCGGAGGCTCACTCTATGGCCCCGTTTAAACAATACCGGATTACTACCTTAGCAGGTAAAATTTTCTAGGTATTAAAAGGCAGTGAAATTATTCAACGTCAGAAACACAATCAAATAGACTAAATCTATCAACTTAGTAAGCTTTTACTCTGAACAGTTACATCTTTAATGAAAACGAACATGCCGTGATGAGGGATACTAAATCTATCGATCAAGATACTTACAAAGAACTATACTCATCGTGTCACGAATATGTATATGGTATGGTCTTCCTAAAATACATTCTTTCTTCCATCAATCACTATTTTTATGAACTAGCAAAGTTTTTCATTCCACTCCTAAAACCCTTTACTAAAAGCAACCTCATCATCAAAGACTCTTTCTCCTTTGTTGAAGAAATCTTCAATTGCAATATTAATTCCAGTGATGTTGTCCTTGCTAGTTTTGATGTCGTATCCCTATTTACTAACATACCTGTGGATGAAGCAATCCGTATACTATCTAATAACATTTTAACAACCACTACTTTCCCGCAACAGAATTTGAAAAACTCCTGTCTTTAGCCGTTAAGAATTGCCACTTCATGTTTAACGGCCAAATGTACCAGCAAATTGATGGTATGGCTATGGGCAGTCCATTGGGCCCTCCCTTTGCTGATATATTTATGTCTTTCACGAGCAATCTTGGCTTAATAAATGTCGTTCTTCATTCAAACCAGTACTTTACCGTTGTTGACTGTTTTACTTTTCATCCGATCACGTCCCTCTCTTTCTTGACTATCTGAACCGACAACATCCGAACATCACATTCACAGCTGAAGTCGAACAAAACAGAAAACTACCATTTCTTGACATTGACTTATCTTGCACAAATGGAAAATTCCGTCACGCAAACATACTTTACTTAATAACTTCTTTCTTCATGACTGGTTCTCACAATTTCATTACTGTCTACTTCCATAGCTTATCTCACTAATTATCCCTTCTTTTCATTTTATTTACATTTCTATCTCTAACTTCAGTTTATCTCTACTTATTTCTCATAGATTATATCTCTGATTCTACTAACTTCCATGTTTCATCTCACATTTCACAGCTTTATCTTACTTTTGCTCAAGTGTATTTCAATTTATGAGTTTCTATCTCTACTAACTTCCATTTGTTTATCTCACTTTAACTCCCATAGTTTTCATTCTATTTCATTTTACGAATTTCTCCCTTAGCACATCTTTACAATCTTTCATCTACCACTTTATTTATATTCTTTCACGACTTTATCTTTACTATCTTCTTATCTTTATTTCAGCTTTATTTTATTTATCTTCCACTATGTTTATCTTCTTACTACTTTATCTTTCACTTATCTTTCATCCAGCTTTATCTAATTAACCTCTACGGTTTATCTTACATCCTCTACTTCGACACAGTTTTATTTATTTATTTCTCATGTTTCATCTACGACCTCCATACTATCTCACTTTATTTTATTTCATCTTCACAGTTTCATCTCATCTACTCCACAGTTTCATCTCCATCACTTCACTCATCTTCACAGCTTCACTCTCACTTACTCCACAGTTTCTCATCCACTCATCACTTTACTCCACAGCTCCATCCCCATTTATCCACAGCTTCATTCATCTCTACATTACTTTACTCCACAGTTTCATCTCACTATCTTCCACAGTTTCATCTCACTTACTTCCACAGTTTCATCTCACTTACTTCCACAGTTTCATCTCACTTACTTCCACAGTTTCATCTCACTAACTTCCACAGCTTCATCTCACTTACTTCCACAGCTTCATCTCACTTACTCACAAACTTTCACTTGTCTCTTGCTTATTTCACCGCATCGTCAACTTTTGTTCTGCTTACGAAAATTTTCACACACAACTCGAATTTACCAGTTTATACCCCTAAATTACCTGTCTTGACTGCTGTCTATTATATATAGCCCATCTATTATATATTTCAAATTTCAACAAAAAATTGAGAAATTTCTATTTAGGTAAGTGCCCTCTTAATTCTTACTTAGGTAAGTGCCCTTTAAGTTCAAACAATTGAATTTAAAGAGCCCCCTGTCTTGCACGTAGTTAAGCTAAAATTTAATAAAATCTCATCAAATTGTAAAAAAAGGTACGATTGTATATGTTGCGCATTTGTCGTGAACTTCGTTGAGCTACTTGGCAAATATTGTAGCACGCAAATACAACCAAACACTGTTATTGAGTAACAAGAGTGAACGCACAATAGGCGTCTTGTTTTCGAAACTTCTAAAGAAAGGTTTATTGAAACAAATGAGCGCAAATTTTATTTCGCACAAGGATTTGGAAAAATGCAACTTGAAAAGTTCTATTTTCAAAAACAGTCTCCATTTTTGTGACATATTTTTGTCTCATTTCGCCTACCATACATTTCTTGCAAGAATGTTATTCTATATTTCAGTTAAGTGGGCACTAGAGATGCGCTTACAAGCGGAGCGCGAGCTCAGTATTTTCACGATTCGTTTGATTGTTTAAAATACATTAGAGATGTAAAAATAAGATTTAGTCTTCCGAGGCTAGTGATTAGGTTTGGGATTAATCTAACAGATGAATTTCTAGTATTTTTAGAATCCAGGGGCTGGTTGCACAAAGCCTGGATAGCGTTATCCACTGGAAAGTAAATTTTTCTGATTGTTCATAAAATTTCTCATAAGAGAAAACTATACGATTTGTACTGTGCAATCACTTAAATAAAATATTGTTTCGAAGATTACAAAATTTCTTTGTCATAAGAAAAAATATAAACACCTTTTTTACAAGTTTGAAAATTTCCGCTATCCATTAGATAATACTATCCAGGCTTCGTGCAACCAACAGGCCCCAGGATTATTGGCACGTTGGATGATATTGTCTTTTCGAGCGCCGTTTTGATGATAAAAGAATAAATTTTAGACAAAAAATTAATGTTAAATTTCCAGCTACTTATGTGTCCGCTGAACTCCCGCAGCTACAAATGTTTATGAGCCCGCGTGATTAAATGTTAAGATTTCTTACAGAAACATTTGGCAAGGGCGGCTTTAGGATTTTTGTTGACAGTTTAAAAGTAATCTATTTTGGAGATGATACATATAAGTGTTTTACAAGTACAACATTAAAAACTGTACAAACCTCGAGAACGAATGATTAATAAATACTTTGCCGGCCTACGCTAGACTATGAACAATACACCTGATGTTAACAAATAACACAGATCGATGGGATCAATGCCACGACACACGGTTTATTTCTCAATAGTTTCATTTCAAACGTTTTGTGTTCTATCCTAAGCAGTTCTAGGAGACAAGTATATAATATTCAAGTTTACAGCTCTCTGTAGCATTGATGCGTAGATTGACGCGCTCGACACACAGCACGCCCACAGGTTTACGAACGGTTTAATTACGATGGTAAACTATCAAGTTGTAGCCAATGAAATAGTGTTTTGACAGGCTTACAATTCAGCACAACATTACAGACTGGCTTACTGAAAATTGCCCGTCACAGGCAACTATTAAGACAACGCAAATAATTCAACAAATTATACAGTGGCGGTTCTAGGGTAAGTCAAGATAAATTACTGCAGCACATTTTCCCATATATTTACTTTTCTAATGCTTTACAGGCATATCGATTGATGAAATTATATTCTTTAGAAATTCAAAACCATTAAACCAATATTTTTTTGTCTGAAAGTATTTTGTAATTAGAATTAAGGTAAATTTATTTTTATCTGCTAATGTAATTATATTATTATGTACAATACTACGCGCCGAAAGTCTTCCGTCACATGATTTACGGTCATGGTCACAATATAGACACACACTGCAGCATATCGAACACAAGTATGTATTATTTTTTATACTAAAAACTGTAAGCTTGAGGCGATTTCCAGCTATAGATATCAAGTTAACTAATAAAATTTCGTCATTCGCTGGTATGATGTTGTGAAGTGAGAACTATAAATTCTAAATTGTTACATCATTTGTAATTTTCATCGTATATCTGACAGAGTATTTATGTAAGTCTGAATCGCCCTTGTTTGGGTTCGAATCTCGGCACGTCTAGTTTAAGTTTGTTGAATACGATGGGTTATTGTATGGGTTATCAAAATTAAGTTAATCTTTCATCTTTTTAAACAGTGTAATAGAGTTTCTATTATTTCGATAATCTCTGATTACAAAAATGAGGGATTTTGAGATTCTACAGCCAATGAATTGTTTCGAAATTGATTCGATCAAATTTTACAAGAAAGAGAAACGCGCAGCGATTATTTCAAGATGTGATGGAATTCAATAAAAACTCGCGAAATTATGCACCGATAACAGTTTGTGTAAAACCTTTTGTTGAAACCAGTGTTTTATTACACACACACATGCAGAGAGACGGAGACTTTTGTTCTTTCGTGAGAAAAGACTACCAACAAACCAAACTATTTTAAAGTGTTAGTAAAATTGTATGAGCGAGCTATTTAAACAATCTTCATAATCATTTGATCATTTATTCGAGTAATTAATATATTTACCAAAGTTAACCTAAATCATACTAAAGAATTGTTTCACAGTAAAAGATAAAACATTATAAGAAATTAACTCGAGGGTCTGCCATAGTCCTTCAACACTTCATTTTTTTATATTATAAGATAAAGTAAATGACTTATAGCACTTGCTCTTACGTGGCAGAAATCTTTCCCTGCGGGGTATACATGACATTTTGCACGGCCAATGCAGTGAATTTCTTGCCCGGCATGACGATATCCTACATTAGGAACGACCGTAACAATGTCATTCAAGTACGTCACTCTAAGATTCAATCCCTTCACAATTCTGTCGACATACTGTGCAAAAGCTTTGTTACCAACCCGAGGTGCGCCAAAGGTTATTAAATCGACCTGGTATCCAGCATTTATCAAATCAACTGCTGCCAAAGTTGCCATTGCTCCACCAAGTGAATGACCAGTGACTAAAACTTTCTCTTGTTTATTTCGATTAAGATCCCGAAGTTTTCTAAACATTTGATCTTTTAGTGGGCTATAAGCCTTTACGAATCCAGTGTGTACTTTGCAATCTTGGCAGCCGCTATATGATTTTTTCACTATTATGAAATCCCTCAACCAGTCCACAGTGCGGAAGGAACCTTGAAATGACACAACGATTTCATTTCGTGTGTTTTTGACGAAACCTTTCGTCCTGCCCAAGTCAAATAATTTGGAATCATGACTAAGTTTAAGCGATAGGTAGGCGTCAATTGATTGAACTGCAGCAAAGCGAATTTCCGACAGATGTGGTGGAGTTCCATAATCTTCCTTTTTGGGTCGACCCTTAATGAGAAAATCACAAGCTGAAGACTGATAAACCTGCATGAAGAACATCATGCTTAACAAAAGTATGAAAAAATTCATCTTTTCTTCGAAATCAAGTAAGACGTGTACCAAAATGCATATAACAATCAGAATATTTATTTTCTGCACGAAGCAACAGCAACTGCTCTATTTATATGCTCTGAACATCATTAACTTTTTGACGTATATCCTTTTTCGTTAAAGGTTCATAAAAAATCTTTCTCTGCGTTTCAGCATAGTCGGCGCCCTTTAAGTGACCGGCTAATAAAAATCTTTGTTTCTCAATACAACTATGCATGAGTGGAACCCGGCTACAACGCACTGAGATGTTCAAGCGTAAATCAAAATATATCATATAACCCCAAACTTATCAGTGAACCCAAATTAAGACTTCATCCTGAAATCTTTGGATTTATTGAAGCAGTTTAGATTATACTGAAATTTTTCTTTTATAAAATCATTTTCAGAGTTATTTATTTTTGAGATGGAAAATTTCAAGAATAATTTAATTTGGAAAATCGTTTGTCCGATAAAAAAATTTCTTAAACGAAACGAAGATAAAACTTGCTACTGAAAGCATTACACTGGGCAGCTTTAACGGTAGAGCGGTGTGACAAGTGATTGTAGTTCAAATTCTTATCCATATAGAATCACAATATATACAGAGCATCACAAAAAGGTAATAAATCCAGACAGTGCAGTGCTCATTTTTCTTCTCAATGCCACTAACAACATGAAATTCCATGGGTGTAACTTTTGCGTTTCAAAATAATTTAAAAGTGTGGTAGTTTATTCAATAATTTTTCCACACACCATCGATTTGAAGAGGATTATCGCAATTTATTTTACTATACATCGCTTCACTCGTCTCACTTCAAAGAAGCCTTGGACAAAAATAGGTGAAAAGGGAATTGGGGGATTATTTGCCAAATCTTCGAATGTCTTAATAGCTTACTTGTGATTGTCACAAAATGAGAGTTGGCAACACTGATTTTTACTTTGGTTTACAGCCTTACATTTCGAGAAAGAACCTTATAATAGCCGCTGCACGATAAGACCATAACAAACACATAGAATGTCTGAGATTGGTGGACAGGCTAACGCTCTGTTTGATGGGAGTAAAACAAAATGCTCAAAAAAAACCACAACAAATTAAAATAGGAATTCAAAAGCCGCAAATCTTTTTAGATGAAGAAATATATTTGGTTCGTGACCAGGTGATCAAGAAATGAGATCAAAAGTCCACTTAATAAGATATTCTTGTTTATTATCATCACAGTCACATCTGACATTAGATTCACATACTTGAGTTTCAAGAGCCCTCTCTGTCTCGCACGCAGTAAAGCTAAAATGTAAAAACATTGCATCAAATTGTAAAAATAGGCACACATTGCACACATGTATATGATACATAGACTACACATACTATATACACACTTTATACACCATACAAACTACACACACTACAAATAACATCTACTCTATACCTACTATAAAGGTTATACACTCCGTATATTCTATGCACATTATAAGGCTATATGCACAGGCCAACACTCTGATTGATGGAAGTAAAACAGAATGTTGAAAAAAGAACATAAAAAAATAATAATTCAAAAGCACTTGTCAAACGCGCGTGATCACAAACAATACGAAAATTCTAGGTGTCTTTATTATCATTGTCTTCCACATACTTCAATGAATCTTATCTTCGCAATCATGCGCAATGTTCCTTAACATTGCTGTGTGTTAGATTAATTCGGTAGAATAAAATTCTGAAACGCTGAATTCTGAAAGTATTATTTTCAATTGAAAACATCGTTTTTACAAAGTAAATGTTGTGTCTGTTTTCACTAGTTGTCATTTTATATTGAACTGAATTTGGCAACCATTAAAATTAACATAATTGGACGGCTTAATTTTGCCAAAAATTAAAGCCGGCAATCAAACTAATCCCAATTTTCATAAATACTCTAAACACTATACACACTGTACACTTTATACACATTTACTATGCACTCTATACACACTATACACACTATACACAGTATGCACTCTATACAAAGTATACATACTATGCAGGTTATGCACATTATAAAGGCTGTTTTGGGGAGTAAAAGAGAATGCTTCAAATAAAAATCATGATTGTTATCATGACAAATAAGTTATTCAAACTCCTCAAATGGTTGCAGATCGTTTAACTTTGACGATCACAAAATATGTTGTTACTAGTTCCTTACTGGGCTTGTGGTGTTCTTGATCCTTTTATCTTCTAGGTTCACTTGTATTTTAGTTATGAAGCTAAATCCAATTTTTCAGCGCAAACTAATTAAGAATTTTCTAGTAGGAGTCTCCTACTCATATATGCATCTTAATTATCCTCGACCTGATTACCCATTCAGTTGTAATTTGGAAAAACCATAACAAATCTTTTTACTTTTAACGTTCAATTTTTATTCAAAATCAACGAAGAATGAATAAACAGGTGGACTGGATATTAACGTTCATAATTATAGCAGGAAATTTTTACTTATATCATACAAAATGGTTCTTGCTATATTGACTCATTTGAATTTATAAATGACTCGTCTGACTCGTTTCGTTTTTAAGAAGCCTTGGACAAAAATAGGTAAATAGATAAATTGGCTTTTTTTGACAAATCTTCGAATTTCTTGAGAGCTGACTTGTGATTTTCACAAAATAAGAGTTGGCAACACTGATTTTTACTTTAGCTTATAACATTACATTTAGCAAAAGAACCTTCTGGTAGCCCTAGCCTTGGATTCAGTCAGGCATCAACTAATTTTGGCAAACGGGAACGATTCTATATTTATAATCCAATAATTTTTCTCGAGCAATTTCAAAATATTTTGATTTGATAACTACGCAAAACATTTAAAATTGAAACAACCAATTTGGCTTCACTTGAGAATTACAGCAGGAATGACTTGTGGCGCTTAAAAAACAGTTGTACTTTTGCCGGGCTCATATGAAAAGCCCCTAAACACAGACATAGAATTTCGTAGATTGGAGAACTGGTTAACGCTCTGATTGATGGAAGTAAAACAAAATGTTCAAAAAAAAACAAACAAAATAGTAATTCAAAAGCCTCAAATGTTTGTAGATGAAGAAATGTGTTTGGCTCGTGACCAGGTGATCTAGAAATGAGATCGATCGTTTCACTTAATTGGATATTCCTGATTATTATCAGCTCAGTCACATCCGTCATTAGATTCACACACTTGAATTTCAAGATCCCTCTCTGTCTCGCACGCAGTGAGGCTAAAATGCAAAAGAACCGCAAAAACATTGTGAAAATGGGTACGCATTGCATACATGTGCATGATATGTTGTTACACTCTGTGCAGGCTACAAGCAATTTATAGACACTACACACACTATATATAGGTTACACAGACTATACACATCATACAAAATATACAGGCTGTACACACCATATATTCTATACACATCATGCAGACTATATGCACAAGCTAACACTCTGTTTGATGGACGTAAAGCAGAATGTTGCAAAAAAACAGCAAAATAGTAATTCAAAAGCCTCATAAAGTGTTAAATTGTTATGGGCTTAGTTTAAAACAGTATAAAATGAGATCTTTACACTTTATTAGATATTCCTGTCTATAATTGGTAACGTAGCCAAACCCATAAAAGTAATGACATCGTAGAAATCATCTCGTTTGTCTTCATTACTTGTTACACGCGCTTGATCACAAACAATGCTAAAATGCTCAGCGTCTTCCTAAAGGATCTTTATCATCATTGTCCATCACATACGTCAATGGATCTTATCTACGCATCATGATTTTTTCACTTCCGTTTAATACTGACGCATGATCAAACCGTTATTTCCAAATTTTGTCCTTTAGCTGACATACAGCATCATACAAGGTCACAAAATTTAATGGTAATATTTAATTAACAGTTGTGCAAATGTAGTCAAGGACACGTAGCATCATGCGCTATGTTCATTAGCATTAGTGTGTGTTAGATTAATTCAGTAGAATAAAATTCTGAAGTATTATTTTCAATTGAGAACATCGTTTTTACAAAATAAATGTTGGGGTTGTTTTTACTAGTTGTCATTTTATATTGAACTGAATTTGGCAACCACTGAAATGAACATAATTTGAAAGCTAAATTTTGCCAAAAATTAAAGCCGGCAATCAAACTAATACAATTTTCATACACACTATACACACTGTACACATGATACATACTACGCAGACATACAAACTATACAGACTATTCATACTATGCAGGTTATGTACACTATAAAGGCGATACACATTATACAAATTATGTACAAGGCAAGCCTCGGGTTTTTGGGAATAAAACAGAATGCTTCAAATAAAACCATGGTTGACAAATAAGTTATTCAAACTCCTCAAATGGTTGCAGATCGTTTAACTTTGACGATCACAAAATATGTTGTTACTAGTTCCTTACTGGGCTTGTTGTGTTCTTGATCCTTTTATCTTTTAGGTTCATTTGTATTTTAGTTATGAAGCCAAATCAAATGTTTCAGCGCAAAGTAATTGAGAATTTTCTAGTAGGAGTCTATTACTCATATATGCATCCTATCTATCCTCGACCTGATTACCCATTCAGTTGTAATTTGGAAAAACCATAACAAATCTTTTATCTTTTAATGTTCAATTTTTATTCAAAATCGACGAAGAATGAATAAACAGGTGGACTGGATATTAACGTCCATAATTATAGCAGGAAATTTTTACTGAAAAGTGACTCGTCTGACTCGTCTCGCTTTTAAGAAGACTTGAACAAAACTGGGTAAATAGATAAAATTGTTTTTTTTTGACAAATCTTCGAATTTCTTGAGAGCTGACTTGTGATTTTCACAAAATAAGAGTTAAGGCAACACCGATTTTTACTTTGGCTTACATACTTATATTTTGCGAAAGAGCCTTCTGGTAGCCCGTGCACTTAGAAGCTGTTAATATAGGCCCGGCTAACCGGGATTCACTGAGGCATTAAATAATTTTGGCAATTGGGAACGATTATATATTCATTATCAGATAAATCTTCTCAATTAATTTCACAATATTTTGATTTAACAGCTACGCAAAACATTTGAAGTTGAAACAACCAATTTGGCTTAATTTGAAAATTAAAACAAGAATGATTCGTGGCGCTTAAAAAACAGTTGTAACTTTGCCGGGCTCATATGAAAAGCCCTATAAACACAGACATAGAATATCGTAGATTGGTGAACTGGCTAACGCTCTGGTTGACGGAAGTAAAACAAAATGTTGGAAAAAAAAGCAAATAGTAACTCAAAAGCCTCAAATGTTTGTAAATGAAGGAATGTGTTTGTTTCATGACCAGGTGATCTATAAATGAGATCAAAAGTCCACTAAATAAGATATTTTTGTTTATTATCATCACAGTCACATCCGACATTAGATTCACATACTTGAGTTTCAAGAGCCCTCTCTGTCTCGCACGCAGTAAAGCTAAAATGTAAAAACATTGCATCAAATTGTAAAAATAGGCACACATTGCACACATGTATATGATACATAGGCTACACATACTATATACACACTTTATACACCATACAAACTATAAACACTACAAATAACATCTACTCTCTACATACTATAAAGGTTATACACTCCGTATATTCTATGAACATTATACAGGCTATATGCACAGGCCAACACTCTGATTGATGGAAGTAAAACAGAATATTGAAAAAAGAACATAACAAAATAGTAATTCAAAAGCACTTGTCAAACGCGCGTGATCACAAACATACTAAAATTCTAGGTGTCTTTATTATCATTGTCTTCCACATACGTCAATGAATCTTATCTTCGCAATCATACAGCATCATACAAGGTCACAGCGTTCAATGGTAATTTTTAATTAACAGTTGTGCAATTGTAGTCAAGGACACGTAGCATCATGCGCAATGTTCTTTAACAGTACTGTGTGTTAGATTTATTCGGTAGAATAAAATTCTGAATGTGTTTGATTCGTAACCAGGTGAACTAGAAATGAGATCAATCGTTTCACTTAATTAGATATTCCTATTTATCTTCAGCACAGTCACATCCGCTATTAGATTCACACACTTGAATTTTAAGAACCCTCTCTGTCTCGCACGCAGTGATACTAAAATGAGAAAGTATTGCATCAAATTGTAAAAGTAGGTACGCATTCATACATGTATATGATATGTCGTTACACTTTGTGCAGTTATTTACTCTATACACATCATTTATTCTATACACATTATACAGGCTATGCACAAGCCAGCCCTCTCATTGATGGAAGTAAAACAGTATGTTGAAAAAAGAACGTAACAAAATAGTAGGTCAAAAGCCACGAAAGGTCATAAATAACGAAATACGCTTAGTTAGTAAACATGTATATGGGATCTTTACACTTTATTAGATATTCCTGTTTAATATTGTTACAGTATAAAGAACTATGCGTCACATAAAAGAAATGACATCATGGAAAACATCTCATTTGTCTTCATTACTTCCCAAAAGGTCTTTATCATTCATTGTCCTCCACATACGTCAATGGATCTTATCTTCGCAACAGGATTTTTTTCTTATCCGCTTAATACTGACACATGATCAAACCGTTACTTCCAAATTTTGTCCTGTAGCTGACATACAGCATCATACAAGGTGACAACATTCAATTGTAATTTTTAATTAACAGTTGTGCAATTGCAGTTAAAGGACACATGCAACATAAAATTCGGATTGTTATTTTTGTACTTTACATAAAGGTATAGCTTCAACTAATAGTTCACCAAAGTTTGAGACTCAAAGTATAAATATTTTTGAAGATATGGAGGTTTAAATTTGATGCTTTACTGATAACGTATTAAAAATGCCAGACGAGCTAACGACGGCTACCGATTGGAAAAAAGTCGTTGTGACGTAATAGTTGACATTAGCTAAACGCGGTCAATTGCGCGCTTCGTTCAAAATATATTGGTAGCTTCTTTGCCTGTATTAACAACACAACAATTTAGCATTGAAAATATGGTTTATAGTTACGCATTTAATTGTAAAAACGGTTCTTCTAAGAACCACCAAACGCAGCAAAAGCTTTCTTTTTTTCGTTTCCCGAAAACAAGCGCATGCGAGATATTTGGATTGAAAAAATCCGACGCAAAAATTTGAAGCCAACAAAGAGCTCAAAATTGTGCTCGCAACATTTCGAGAGCTCGTGCTTCGTGCTCGCAACATTTTGAAGCGATGCAATCAGTAGGATGGACAGCAAGACGGCTTCGCCTTAAGAAGGATGCTGTACCCACGATTTTTCAATACTCTGTGGAACCCACAAGTGTAGCATCTAAAAGGAAGCAGCCAACAAATGTTAGAACTGCATTTGAGAAGAGACGAAGGCAAGAGGTGATTATTATAGTTATAGTTAGCAATATTTGTTTACATTTATCAAAAACTAAGCTATTAGCATTACTAAATCGCCGTAGACACAGGCGTTTACCAGCTTCTTGTCGTAAAACATGGACGAAGCGGTGGATTATGACAGGCATAAAAGTGCTATATCGTCTTGTTCTTCGGAATCAGAAAATGACACAGAATTTAACTCATTTGAGGAAGCTGCCATTTTTGTTTGATATGAGATTTATTGAGCATGCGCTGTGAGGAAAACACAAAAGCAATTTGCTTCAAGACGCCGCACACGGACAAATCGACAAAGCATTTCGCCACGCGTGGCAAAAAATATCAAACATGTTTGATATTTGCGAGTTCTGCCAGGAAAGGCAAAAGTCGTCGGAAACAGTACGCGCACACGAGAGCAACTTGCTCCCGCCACTTGACACGAATGACATTTTGCTAAGCACATAGCTCTCGTGTGCGCCAGGCTTTAGAAGCGCAATGTGAAATGCCAAGCAGCAATAACAATCCGTCCGCAAAAACACGTAAGGTCAAGAACCACTCAAACAAAAGTGCCAAATATGATAAGTAGAGGTATAGACTTTCCATTTCGGCCGTTTTGATTTTTGTGAAAAATCCAGCAATACAATAATTTTATGCTAAGGTACGGAGGTTGAGTTAATTTCAACAAGACGACGTCATGTGAAATTGAACATTTTGAGGATAGCGCTGTATGGTTTGATACAGAAAGCACGTCGACGATGAGCAATAGCTACAATGGATCAGACTCTCACTCCAGGGGCGGATCTAGGGGTAGGCACCATAGGCAAGTGCCTATGGTGAAATTACCAAAATATACTTCGACTTAGATTCGATACGAATTTATCGAATTATGAAACTATGAATAGCCCTTTATCGCAGTCAAATCATCTGACTTTTGTTTAGAAATGTTGTGCAATTAAATGACGTAATTTTGATATGAATCGTAGTCCAGATGCGTATGATTATCTATAAAGCTCCGTGTCGTTAGGCAAAGCAGCCATTTTGTCTAAGTCAAGAAGGCGATCTAGCCATTTGATTGGTTGTTAGCAATTTGCCTAAACAAGATGAATTTGCCTAACTTGACATCGTGTATAGGTATTCTGATTGGGCAATTTTTTGCAACCGTATGCTTTCATTGGTCAATTTTTTTTTGCCTAACTTGAGCAATTCCAACCAATCATTGCTGTTGATAAGCATAGTTGAGCTAGGCAAATTAGGCAATTGAAAATTAACATACACTCGTATTGTTTCTGAACAGCCTCTGTGCTCAGTTTACGGTTTTGTGATATTTTATAATGTCTTCATTGTGTTGTGGTAATTTATACGAGACTGCTCAGTCTGCGTTGGCCAAAAACGATTTAAAATGCCTTAATGAGCTTTATTCTCGTTTATTGGTCGACGTTCGACCTATGTTTACTAACGAGCAGCTGTTAGATAGAATTTATGACCCCGACCATACTCTGTGTCGAAATTTTGGAGCTGAAATATATGTGCCAAAGCACGCTCATGACGGAAAGACTTGTACTGCAATAAGGTAAATATATTATAATTATATATATCGTATTGTAGTATTTATATATACGTGTAAAATGGTTAAATCTCAATTTCGCTAGGCTATATCTTTGTCTACAGTCAGCAATTCATTCATACAATGCAATCAATCTACCAAACAAAATATTAATTTCTTTTCTTGAATATTTTTTAAGATCTGAAGCTTCTGGCAATTGCCTCTACAGTTCAGCTTCCTAGTTCTGGTAGGTAACAATGCATTGGTCCCTACTTTGCGAATTTTAACATCGCTTGAGCTATTTATTCATGCTGCTTTTATGCTCAACACCCATGCTTTTGTCTGTTATAAGTGAGCACAGTGATTACTTTGCCCAAAGCTTAAACAATCTTTTGCTTTGTCAGTGTCTAAAGAATGTTTAGACACTGGATATACAACAGATGAACTGGTAAAACAGGAGGCTATTTTAAATTGTAATGACCAGAAATGGTCATCTTTTCTTTGTATTTTGGGCCTATCTTCTGTTTTAGGTAGAAAAATTCATACTTTTTATCCTGATTCTGGTGAAAGTAGATATAAATTGTTATTTAATCGTATTGTTCAGCCCCGGTTATTAAGCCAAAGAGGTTTGGATGCTATTAATATTTTGTTTTGTCATGAAGGATCTGTACAACCAGGTGAGACTTTTCAGTCTAATCATTTTGTGCCTCTCATTTTCCATGCCCACAGGTTGAAGCGAAAATTGTCTAATTCCTGTACACAGTCTAATTCTAGCAGCTCAACAACAGAGAAACGAAAATTTGTCAAAATTTTTCCAAATATTGCACCAAAAACAGTTGACATTTCAAATTTTTTTACTTCAACTAATAGGCCTGCTGCCCAACCAACTTTTAAAAGGATGCCCAATGAGAGTTTTTCTTCTGCTGCAGCTCTTGCTCAGACATTAAATAAAGCCAATAGTCTTTTGCTTCACACATCATCCCAGGAACTATTGCCTGGTATTCCAACTTCTGGTGATATGCAACCTGCTGTTTTAACCCATAATTTTGATGTTTCCTTGTATAGGGAGAAAGTTAAGGGTATGGATAATTCTGAAATATGTCATTTGATAAAAAATGTATATAAACCAGATAAAAAGTATCATTTTCCTAAATCTAATGGCAGATCATTTAGGCATGATTGGCTAGACCAGCATGAATGGCTTTGCTATTCACCTTCACAAAATGGTGCGTATTGTCTATCGTGTGTGTTGTTTGGCAATAGATTCCCAGGCAAGGCCAGTAAAGTAAAAAAGTTGTTTACTGAACCTCTTCAAGATTGGAAGAATGCTAAATGCTCTTTCACTCAACATGCTGGAAAAAGTAAAGGGAGGGAAGTCGGTTTGCATGCATCCACATCACCAATTTTGATGCTTTGCGTTCCCAAATATCAGGTACTCTGCAGCCTATCGAGATGATCATGGATGCTGGTATCAAGAAAGAAATAGAACAGAATAGGGAAATACTATCTCCAATTATTGATTCTGTCATTTTTTGTGGACGTCTAGGTTTACCTCTTCGTGGGCATCGTGATGATTCCAAGTATCACCCTACTGTTGGTTGTTATTCATCTGAGGGGTTGGTAATTTCATTGAAACACTCAATTATGGAGTTAGGAGAGGGGATAAAGTTTTAGAAAATCATTTAAAGAATTGTGGTAAGAATAGAAGTTATATTTCTAAAACAAGTCAAAATAAAATCATTAAATGTTGTGGCCAGGTAATCAGTAATCAGATTATTTCTGATATCAAAAAGTAAGTTTTTTCTGTTATTGCTGATGAAGCATCTGATTCTTCACATAAAGAACAAATGTCTCTTGTTTTGCGCTTTGTTGATACCGATATGAATATCAGGGAAGAATTCATTTCATTTCTTTTTGTAAGTGGGGACTAAGTGGTGCTCAACTTGCCAAGCTACTTTAGAGGCTCTAAAGGAACTGACTTTATCAATAGATGATTGTAGGGGCAAGGTTATGATGGGGCTGGTTCAGTTGCTGGTTGCACTAATGGTCTAGCAGCTCAAATTTTAAAGCTTAACCCAAAGGCTCTTTATACACACTGCTATAGTCATAGGTTAAACTTATCCATTTGCGATTCTTTGAGTATACGTGTTGTCAATGATATGTTGAAACATGTTAACAATGCCACTAATTTTATTAAAATTTCCCAAACTCGCAATATTCCCTTGAAAACATATACGTAATTCAGAAACAAACTCGAAAAGACTAGATTAACAGACGTTTGCAAAACTAGATGGGTAGAACGTATCGAAGGTTTAGATACATTCCAAGAGCTTTTGTACCTGTATACACCACCCTTAACGATATGTCTGAAAATCTAGATGGTGAGTTCAAACCGTCGCTTCAGTCTGATGCCTCATCTTTGTTTCAACTTATTGACAGGTTTGATTTCGTCGTTGCTTTAGTTATCACGAGAAATATTCTTGATTCAACTCTTCCAGTAACACAGTTATTACAGGGTAAGAGTATCGATATAATGGATGGTATTCATTTAATTTCAACTTTGAAAACTGAGGTGGTGAACATGAGGAATTCCTCTGATTTTTATCATGACACCTGGTATGACGAAGCGCTTGAACTGGCAGCAAAAGTTGGCATTGAAGAATGGAAACCAAGAACAGTGCGCAAACAAACGACCAGGGAAAATATTCCCCACACAACCATTTCTGAGTATTATAAACGTGCAATTACTCTTCCTCTACTAGATCATTTGCAATCTTCTTTAGAATCACGATTCGACCTTGAGAGTGTGAATGTCTATAAAGGCCTTAGCATTGTACCGACGAAAATGATGTCCATGACAAGAGATGGGGTGGATTGGAAAGAGCCATTCAAAACTGTGGCTAACTTTTATTATGATGATTTGCCAAATCCTTTGGCCTTAGATGCTGAACTTAGGTTGTGGTACACTTATTGGGAGACCCACTGCGGCCTCCTTCCTGATAACATTGCCCAGACTTTAAAATCTGTTCATTTCGCCGGATTTGAAAACATTAAAATTTTACTACGTATTTTAGAACGCTCCCATTACCTCTTGTGAATGTGAACGATCTATTTCTTCCCTTAGGACACTTAAAAACTATCAGCGAAGTACCATGGTTGGGGAACGCTTAAATGGTTTGGCCTTGATGCAAATTCATCAGGAAATTGTACCAGATATTGGTGAGGTTATTAATACTTTTGCTGTTGGAAATACAAGGCTAAAATTTGCATGAATTTATTCATATCCTAGTTTTTTATTTTGTTGAAATGTCCATATGTTAACCATTTATTGTGCGTTGTACACAATAGTAACGTCAATAGAATTTGCATCAAACTAATAGCTCGCCCGATAAAGGTTTTTTCCTATATACATTCCAATCTTAAAACTGCTGAGTACGTGTATGGTACTCGGCCGTTGTCGACATAAATTTACTTTCACAAAATTGTTAAGCATAAATAGAATAATTTTTCCTTACACCAAATTTTAGTCTTCACAAAGACTCTTTATACAAAGCTCTATTTTGACTATTACATTACATTTACATTCTGCTCATTTGTTGGCAAATGAGAGTGCACATTTTAGGTGGGGGGTAAAGGGTTGGAATTGACTGGGATGGTGTAAGAAACTGAGCAATCTTACATCCATGAAATGTCCCACATAGTCACCCATTTCTAACCAAACTCCTTTTGCTATTTGCTAAAGGTGTGAAAGGCGAGTTTCTGGCGCCTTCAAAAACCAGAGTGCTCATTTTTAGGTGGGGGGTAAAGGGTTGGAATTGACTGGGATGGTGTGAAAAATTGAGCAATATCACATCCATGAAATATCCCATATAGTCACCCATTTCTAACCAAACTCCTTTTTCAAAGGTGTGTAGGCGAACTTCTGGCGCCATAACCAGTCTGCTTAATTCGGCTCTCACAGGGCTGTCCATGCCGGATCACGATTTTTTGTTTTGCGTTAAAGTGTTCCTAGGCATGCTGATGAGCCCTGATATGGGGCGAAACAGTCTTGTGTGCATTCAATATTCTGAATAGTGAAAATCAACGACCTTGTGATATGTAAGTATAAATATACAATGTTTTTATGTATTTATACGATTGAGATCTACAAGATTCTGCATAGCTGAATGATTAGACTGTTTGATTTAAACAATTTATCGAAAGCATAGTGTAGTATGTTTTGCAAAGTATGACGTCATAGGTTTAGCACTGAATGACGTCATAATGTTTTGCCTATGGTATCCAAAATCCTAGATCCGCCCCTGTCTCACTCGTTTTCTTCACTCTCAGGCATAGGTCCAATGTCATGTGTGTACACGACCATAGCTGTTTTTACGACAGCTTCGTTTATACACACTGTGGCAAACTCTTCCTCTTGTGTGATGCAAATATGATCGCCATGTTTCAGAGGATCAGTATTGTTTACCTCTTGGCAACCTATACTTTCCCGTCCTGTACTCATGACCACACAAAAGCCACACTCACACCTAAAAGATAAAAACATTGTTTTTACTTTGGGAAAAACAATGAAGCATCAATAAAATGCAACTAACCATTCAACATTTCCAATTCTGTGCATGTATTTATCTTCGCTTTCAGATGACGAAAGAATTGTCATCATTATGACCACATTACGCGTTGGCCAAAGGCTCAAACATGTAAGGTTGTACCTCATTGTTATTGATGACAATATCATAATCGGCATCTTCTTCAGAAGAATCCATTAATTTTTGATAAATAAAAAACAGTAATAGCAAACTACCGAAAGCAGTGCAAGCACTGCATGCAAGTCGTGCATGGAACGATATAAGAACGATGCTTGTTTATGTCAACTATTACGTCACTCTTTCCCAGTTCCCAGACTTAAATAATCTCACGGCGTTTCAGCAATGGTCATCGAATATCGTGTTTTTGCCGATTATAACCCTAAATATCTTTTGAAATATTTTGCGGATGACTTTGAAACTTGGAACGTCTTATTTTCATAAAATAAAGTTGTCTTCTAGCTTGCATGTGTCCTTTAAGGAAACATCACATCTTGTGCAATGCTCCTTAACATTACTGTGTGTTAGATTTATTCAGTAGGATAAAATTCTAAAGTATTATTTTCAATTGAAAACATCGTTTTTACAAAGTAAATGTCCTGGTTGTTTTCACTAGTTGTCATTTTTATTGAACTGAACTTGGCAACCATTGAAATTAACATAATTGGACGGCTTAATTTTGCAAAAAATTAAAGCCGGCAATTAAACTAGTCCCGATTTTTGTACAGACTATACACACTGTACACACTATGCACACTATACACACTATACAGGCTATATACACTATACAGGTTATGCATAAGCCAAGCCTCTGGTTGTTTGGAGTAAAAAAAATGCTTTAAATAAAAACCATGACAAAGAAGAGATTCAAACTCCTCAAATGGTTGCAGATCGTTTAACTTTGACGATCACAAAATATGTTGTTACTACTTCCTTACTGGACTTATGGTGTTTTTAATCTTTTTATCATACAAAAATGTTTAATAGAGAAATTTCAGGTTCGTTTGTATTTTAGAAGTTAGATCAAATTTTTCAGCGCATAGTAATTAAGGAAGTTTTAGGAAAATTCTCGTACAAATATATGCATAATAATTATCATAGACCTCATTACCTATTCAGTAATAATTTGGAAAAAGCAAAACAATTTTTTTCATTTAGCGTTTAACTTTTGCCCAAAATCAACCAAGAATGTACCAAACAGTTGGACTGTGTGTAAATTAGCGCTAGAATATTTTATTCAAATAATTCGAAATGGTTGCTTCTAGATTCGCACATTTGAATTGAAATGGCTACATTGTTCGTCTGGCACGTAGTGTAGCTAAAATGTAAAAGCATTGCACAAATTGTAAAAATCTGTAAGAATTGCCTACATGAGCATGCGATGTCGTTGATTAATAATGTACCTACTACATACATTATGAACACACTTATACGCACTTTACAGGCTACACACAGTACCCAGGCTTTACAGGCCATGCTCAAGCCGATCCTCTGTTGATGGAAGTATAACAGAATGTTGCAAAAAAAACATAACAAAACAGCAATTCAAAAACTAGAAATGGTCGTAGTAGATGAAGAGATGTGTTTAGTTCGTGACTTTGTGTACATATATTCTAGATTGGTTGTTCCACTTAATTAGATCTTCTTGTTCATTATCAGCTCAGTCACATCCGCCAATAGATTCACACACTTGAACATCAAGAACACTCTCTGTCTCGCACGTATAGTTAAGCTAAATCATAAAGGCATCAAATCAACTTGTAAAAAATACGCACACATTACATACATGTGTATGATATCATTGATATGTCGTTATAAGAGTTACACGGGCTATACAAAACATATACTCAATATATATATGCTATTTATGCCACACACATCATTTACTCTTTATATACTACATACATGCACACCAGATACACTTTACATATACTATACGCACTATTCACTCTATACATACTATACACACAATTTGCACTACAAACCATATACTCTATACACACTATGCAAACTACACAGGTCATAAAAGCTACACAATATACAGGATATACACACTATGCACAACCCGGCCCTCTCGATGATGGAAACAAAAGAGAATGTTGCAAAAAAATAACAAAACAATAATTCAAAAGCCTCTAATGGTCGTAGATTTAAAAAAATATGTTTACTTCATGAGGTGATCTAAAAATGAGATCAATAGTTTCACTTCACTAGATATTCTAGCTTATTATCAGCACAAGATAAATTTTCCAAGAAAGAAGTGAAAAAATAGAAATTGATTTTTTTTAAATTCTTGTTAAACTTGCATGATAACAAATTTTCTATGCATGTTTTAACAGAATATATCATTTTCACTTTTTTTCTCACAAAACTTGTTTGAAAACACATATCAATTTCAACAAAAATTTCCAAGCTCCTGCCTAGTCAAGTGCCTGGCTTGCTTCATCGTAGTTATCCCACTAAATTATTATAAACCATCTTAAAAGAAATGATATTTAGTTTACAATACCATTACTTTCGGGACAACACTACGGTAATTAAGAGTTGAACACAATTTTTCGATTAAGAAAACAGCAATAAACCATTTTAAATATTTTAAAACAAATAAGTTAAGCCCAATTTACTGCTAATAAAACTGCATGAAAAAATTATTTAAAAACATTTGCATTAAAAACTTACAAAATTTTAGCTATTCAGGAAAATGGTTACTTGTGTCTATAGTACGAAGCACGCACCACAAGGCAGCTGTGATTGGCAATTCCACAGTGAAAGATTTGTGCAAGACTTTCGAGTCTCCAGAGCGAGAACTCCAAACAGCTGTGTGACCACAAACATAAATCTCATCTTCAAGGTGATCAAAGTCCTCAATAGATTGTCTCAACTGCCAAAACTCTCTCTATAAACAAAAAAGCATTCGCTATTTGATTTAAAAATGTCCCCACTGGCCACTAGCACACTACCATAATCAAGCATCAGAGTAAATGGTTAAATTTACCTTTCTTCTTTTCTTTTTCTTATTTTTTTCATAAATTTACCTTTTTTCTTTATTCATCTTTTTTTTAGAAAAGCTATCACACTTTTCACCAATAGCCATTACACGTGGTTCAATATAATAATGGGAAAATTTTGGGTTTTTTCCCACTTTTATTGGACTATATTAATTGTTACTACTAGTATTTTGTAACTGCCATTCTCAAAAAAGCAAATCCTTACCCCCTCAGTAAGATTGAGTGCTATTTTTAAAAGACAGATCATTTGTGTTTAAGGGATGCGTGTCAACAAAGTTACAAAGATGGACTTCGGCGTTTGTTTACATCTATATCTTAAATTTCTAAGCCAGCGCCACATTTAGTTGTGGGGAACGTCATGTAGTTTCCGTGAAAATTCACTTAGCACGAGTTGATCCACAACGTGATTCTCAAGTAATTGTAGCATTCTACGCATAGACGAAAAGCGTTTTTTAATCATAAGTTTTTAAAAGAACTTAAAACCTAAAATTTAAAGTAATTATAAACGCCTACCTTGGCTACATAAAGAGTAAATTCTGCGAAAATTTTTACGACTTCAAACAATTACAAAATCTGCTATTTTCTCGTCTAACAAAATGGCCATCACACCGTAATGTTGACACGCGTTTATCAAGTACTCATAACTCACAAGGTTACGATTTAAGCTTTAAGCACTTAGGGTGCATTTTATTGTTGCATATTAGCACTTCCATTGTGGAGAACGAGGTGGTGAAGTTGAGTTGTGGTATGCAAAACTAAACTTTTTAAGCTATACAGGAAAAGATAATTGCATCATGATAACAAAAAATGAAGAAATAATCTTAAGATTTTGTTCCAATCCCTCTAAATTAACCCATACTGCATTGATTTTAAATTGAAAGATAATTTGTCATAAAATGATCAAAAATGTTTCCTCTTATGCGAGTTGCATCTTTGTTTGGGGGTTCGTTTGTCGGATATTCATTGCATTGGCCTGGACCGACACAATAAATTTCCAGCCCAACATGCCGATATCCTAATAACTGTGGAGGAATGACTGTGACAGGGTCTCTCTTGTACGTCACTCTAAGATTCAATCCATTTAAGTTACTGTCAACAAGTTCTTTAAATTCTTTGTTACCAACCCTAGGTGAGCCAAAGGTTATTAAATCGACCTGATATCTAGTCTTTACCAAATCAACTGCTGCCAAGGTTGCCATTGCTCCTCCAAGTGAATGACCTGTGACTAAAACTTTGGAGTTGGGATTGAGAAGGAAAAAAGCGTTTACTTTATCGAGCATTTGCTGCTTCAATGGACTATAAGAGTCAAAGAATCCAATGTGTACTTTGCAATTTGAGCAGCCTGGATATGATTTTTTCAAGAACTTGAGATTGTTTTTCCAGTCTATTAAGTCGGCAGAACCCTGAAACGATACCACGATCGTATTATCTTCGTACTTGACAAACCCTTTAACCCTTCTGTCTCCTGTGTCCAACAATCTTGAATCAGGTGGATTTACTTCTTCGTAGGCTTGTTGCGCATATTTTGCAGCTCTGCGAATCGCGGAAAACTGGTTGGGTATTAAATCTCGTGTTTTCCTCTTTAGTTTTTCAAGTCCTATCGAGGGACAAACTTTGCCGAACGTTTTTCCTTTTTGTTCTTGATACAGTCCTTCACGGCATTTCACAGGTGATTTATTTTTCCAAAGACAAGAATGACCAACTGGACAAACTTTACATTTTGATTGTCCAGTTTGAATATTGTATTCACCATCCTTACACGACTTGCAAGATGTTTGACCTCTTTCGTCCTGATATTTTCCTTTGCCACATTTTACAAAATGTGATGGATTATTTATCGAAGAGCAAAAATGACCAACTGGTGCATCACAAGCTGAAGAATCATAAGCCAGCACATAAGAAGTTATGCTTAGAAAAATTATGAAACTTGTCATCTTTCTACTTTTGAGTCGGGTCAGACACTCATGCATATCATTAGCATTTATATCCTCTGCATAAAGCTACAGTAATTGCTCTACAGACTGGAACGGAGTCAAACAGGTACCAGTTCGTTCCGGTCATTGTCAATAGCATCTAGATTTTGGAAACATTGTTTTTTTTAATTAAGAGCAGTAACAAATTTTTCCCGTACCTATGGCGTCATGATTTCAAATAAGTACACTTATAGTACTGTAAAAAAGTTAAATAACAAATATTGCTTATCAAAATAAAAATGAAAAAAAAATCACTAACTTATTATAAGTTTATCTGCAGCAAATTCAAACTTACTTTCATTTTTTGAAGCAAAAAATTACAAATGTCATTACAGCTATGGAAGTAAAAATATCTGCATTAATGAAACTGAGTACTCTAAAATTCTCAGAAACTATTAATTAATTAAATTTATATCCACATGCGACCAACGATGGAATAAAAATTTGGACTGAATAGTAACCCTTACAATAAGCACAAGAAACTTTTACTTAGATCATATAAATGGTTGATGCTTCTTTCCCACACTTGAATTTCAAGAACCCTCTTAGTCTCAGTAAAGCCAGGGGCGTCGGAAACAGGAGGGGCTAAAGCCACTCCACTTTTCTCATAAGGGGAGCAGTCCCTCCCCACTTTGCATTGAAATAGAAAAATCACCATGAAAGAGAATGTTTACTAATAGTCTATTTTGTCTATAAAACATACATATCAACAGTGCAGAGAGTGGACTCTAAAAAATCCCGTAGAATTCTTTTGCAAATTTTTTTCATTAGTTTATTACTTTCGCGATTAGATAAACGGCGTTGCTGAAACTCAAAATGGCGGCTACTTGACAACATGTTGCAAACATCGGTACTCCTAATTCTTAAAATGTGCCCTCACACTTTTATGTTCTTTTCTACGCCTCTAGGTAAAGCTAAAATGTAAAAACATCGCATCAAATAGCATAAATAGACACACATCACATACATGTGTACATATATTCGTGACTTTGTGTACATATATTCTAGATTGGTTGTTCCACTTAATTAGACATTCTTGTTTATTATCAGCTCAGTCACATCCGCCAATAGATTCACACACTTGAACTTCAAGAACACTCTCTGTCTCGCACGTATAGTTAGGCTAAAACATAAAGGCATCGCATCAACTTGTAAAAAATACGCACACATTACATACATGTTTATGATATCATTGATATGTCGTTATAAGAACTATACAGGCTATACAAAACATAAACTCTATAGATATGCTATTTATGCCACACACATTATTTACTCTATATATACTATACGCCTTATGCATACCAGATACTTTTTACGCATTATACACACTGCAGCCACTATACACGCTATACATGCTATACTCACTTTTCACACTACAAAAACTGTACACATGATTCACACCGCACACATTATACAGACTATGTACTCTATACACACTATTCAAGCCAACACTCTGGTTGATTGAAACAAAATAGAATGTTGCAAAAAAAAATCACCAGTAATTCAAAATCCTCTAATGAATCATTATGTTTAACCATTTTTACTTTTTGCTCTCAAAACTCGTTTGAATTAATTACTATAAAATCTCTTCAAAGAAATTATATTTAGTTTACAGCAAAATTACTTTCGTGACAACACAACAGTAGTGAAGAGTTTAACACAACATTTTCAACATGGTTTATTTCTAGGAAAACCACATTAATAAGCCTTTTTGAAAATTGCGAAACAATTAAATTAAAAACTTACAACGTATTCAAAAAAAATATTTACTTTTGATTTTCGCAAAGAACCAGTGGCGTAGCAAACTCGTTAATTGGGGGCACATATTCATATATTATTGTTCTGCAAATTAAGTTCCTTAGAAATCCATTGTTTTCAACGGATTAGGAAATGCATAAAAGAACTTGTGCTCCCCCCTCAAATTAACGAGTTTCTGTACAGAATACACGTTACAAACATCTGTGAATGGTGATGAATATTCAAACTTAAAGTGCGTTTTCATGCTGTACAATTACACTTCCATTGTCGAGGACGAGATGAAGAAGTTGACTTGTGGTATGCCAACAGGTAATCTATTAATGAAGCAACACAGTAAAAGACCAAACATCATGATAACATGAAATGAATAAATGAGCTTAACATTTTCTCATAATCCTTCTAAATTTGTCCATATTGCATTTATTTTATATTGAAAGATAATTCGTCATAAAATGATCCAAAATGTTTCCTCTTACGCGCGTTGCATCTTCGTTTGGAGGTTCGTTTGTTGGATATTCATCGCATTGGCCTGGACCAACGCAAAAAATTTCCCCCGACATGCCGATATCCGAATGACTGTGGAGGAATGACTGTGACAGGGTCTTTCTTGTACGTCACTCTAAGATTCAATCCCTTCAAGTTACTGTCAACATGTTTTTTAAATTCGTTGTTACCAACTCTTGGTGAGCCAAAGGTTATTAAATCGACCTGATATCTAATCTTTGCCAAATCAATTGCCGCCAAGGTAGCCATTGCTCCTCCAAGTGAATGACCTGTGACTAAAACATTAGAGTTGGGATTGAGAAGAAAAAAAGCGTTTACTTTATCGAGCATTTGCTGCTTCAGTGGACTATAAGAGTCAAAGAATCCAATGTGTACTTTGCAATTTGGACAGCCTGGATATGATTTTTGCAAGAACTTGAGATTGTTTTTCCAGTCTATTAAGTCTGCAGAACCCTGAAACGATACCACGATCGTACTATCTTCGTACTTGACAAACCCTTTAACTCGTCTGTCACCCGTGTCCAACAATCTTGAATCAACAGGCCTTACTTCTTCGTAGGCCTGCTGGGCATATTTTGCAGCTTTACGAATCGCCAGCAATTTGTCAGGTATTATATCTCGAGTTTTCTTGTTTGGTTTAACAAGTCCTATTGAGGGACAAACTTTACCAACTGGGCAGACTCGGCACAATGTTTTTCCTTTTTGTTCTTGATATTGACCTTTACGACACTTTACAGGTAATTTATTTTTACGAAGACAAGAATGACCAACTGGACAAACATTACATTTTGATTGTCCAGTTTCAATGTTGTATTCTCCATCCTTACACGATTTGCAAGATGTTTGACCTCCTTTGTCTTGATATCTTCCTTTGCCACATTTTACAAAATGTGCTGGATTATTTATCGAAGGACAGTAATGACCAACTGGCGCTTTGCAAGCTGAAGAATGATAAGTGCCCTGAACGAAAAACATGATGCTTGACAAAAGTAGAAAAACCACCATTTTTTACTTTGGAATAGAATAAGACGTCCCAATTGTATAAATTTTGGAATTTATATCCACGAATAAAAGTAAAAGCAATTGCTCTAAAGTTCTATACTCTATAGCCTGGAACGAAGTCAAACTGGTACCCGTTAAAAATATTGTCTTGCTAATAAATTAAGCAAGCTTGTTTTGCAAACAGTGTTAGAGTTACTTGCAAATAGACATTCATCGTAGGCAGTAAAACAACTCAAACTAGTTAAAAATCTGACAAACCAAACGCTTGAGTGGATTAATTGGATGTCTATCGTAAAATAATGAACATGTACACATGATTACAAGCATTTTCTACATCATCAGTTTATTGATTAATCATCAAGTTTACAAGAGAAGATCTTGCTGATAAACTGGTTTGTTCAACAAGAGGGAGAAAAAGCAATGTACACTAAGGGATTTTATAAGGATGATTGGCACACGGTGAGTGTCAATCAAGAATTTTGGAGTAAAATCAACAGTAATTATAAAATAAACACAATGAAATGCGCTCGCTGATTGGTTTAGAGCTGAGTTTGCATTAGCCAGTGCAAAACACATCTGAACTCAATCAATCAAATCAATCTAAACAGTCAATCATTCAAGGAGAATTTGGAAATCTATCATGAATAAATTTTAGAGGAAAAATTAAAATGTTTGTCTTTTTTCGCATTATTTTTACTTTATAAAAGAAATAAAAGATGTTTACTGTGTTTGCACAGGCTTATGCAAACCTTGGAGACAGTTGTGAGAACTCTCGAGAATTTGCAACCCTCGAACTTTGGTCTTGGGCTTGCACTGATCTGCTCTTGAGTTCTCCCAAAGGTCTCCTCGGTTTGTTTGCATAAGCATGTGCAACTACAGTAAACATCTTTTATTTCTTAAATGAATGATGATCCAAATGTATTCATTGCCGCCTGAAGCACTAGGTGGGACTTTAACCGGTTGTGGTCTTTCACTTATGATGAAAATAATGTAAATAATCGGTTTACAAAAGTTTTCTCATATTCGTGCTCCAAGTTGCATCATTTTGTCGGCAACAAATATTTTACGCCAGTCGTTACATGGTCGTTATATTTATTTTCTGTTAATGCTGGAGCTACGTGCGATAAAATTATCAAGCAAAAGTGGTGGCTGCACGTAAGACAATTTTTTTATCGACGACCATTTTGTCAATGTTTATTGGTAAACATCAATTTCAATCTTGCCATTTCTCGCGTCACATTGGCCAGAAGTGGTTTGTCGTGTCACGTTTTTCAGTCAGGACCATTGAACTAAAATACATGAAAAACAATTGAAGCCAAATATTAAACCCAGACATATAAGATTACACCCAGACACGCGTGTTTAGTGTTTCAAGATTCTCTAGCGGAGTGAAAATTGATTCAACTACACAAGTGTGTGTGGTTGTAATCTCGCGTGGCTAAGTGTAAGATGAGGCTTCAAAAAATATTAGGCTTTTCTGTTACGTGTAGCGTTTCATGTGTTTTAGTTCAATGGTCGAGACCCAATAATCATTTATTCAAGTAATTCGTATATTTACTAAAGTTGACGTATGTCAAAATGGTAAAGAACATGTGCAAAATATTGCAAGAAATAAGTAAGTGTGCTGTGCCATTCTACATACTAAAAAACATTTTTCGAACATCTCCAAAGGCGACCTAGAAATCTGTTTAAGTTTTTTATTCAATCGATTTATGTAAGTACTAAATCAGATTATTATATGGCAAGCGTTAAAGCTCTTTTCCACTCATCGCAAAATGCTTTTGCCGCGAGCTTGCGAGTCTGTTTGCGCGATCAAAAAAATTTGTTCAATTAATTTAACTATGCTGCAAGTCATGGTAATCTCGCTGCGAGTAACTCGTAGGCACTCGCAGCGAGCTTGCGAGTACGTTTTGCGATGAGTGGAAAAGAGCCTTTACTTCCGGCTAAATGGCGCGCTTTGATTGGCTCAGAAACATTTTTGCCGGTTCATTTTTTTCCCCTAATCAACCATAAACGCGTATTTTAAGTCAAGTCAACGTAAGCAAAAAAACGCAAAACGAATGAAGAAACCATTTACGAATGTGATTCGAAGGTAAAACACTTGGAAAACAGCTTAACTATCAAGACGATACAATTTAAACCGATTTATTTTTTTATGGACTAAGACTAGAAAAGTGAAATAGCAAGGACGAGAAAGAAAGCAAGCTTCATTTCATGTCAAATACTAAGCCCTTAATGTCCGAGAGCGAAGTTTTTACGGAAAAATAACGGACCGAGGTATTTTTGTACAGACCGAGCCCGTGGGCGAGATTTGTACAAAAAGACCTCGGTCCTCCAAATTAATCGTTCTAAGTTGTATCGTCTGGATAGTTTAACTGTTTTCCCATCGAATCTAATTCGTAAATGGTTTTTTGTTTTGTTTATTTTGCGTTTTGCTGTTTGCTTTACGAAGTTTGTTTACATTTGACAGTAAAATTACGCGTTTTGGACGGTAGTCGATTACGGGAAAATAATGGACCGGCACAAATGTTTCTGAGCCAATCAAAGTGCGCCATTCAACCGGAAGTGACGCTTACCATATAATAATCCATTTTTAACTATTCATATTGTAAGATAGTTGTTCATATAATGATCTGAAATTGTTCCTCTAAAATGTGTTACATCTTCGTTTGCTGGATATTCGTGGCATCTGTCTGTACCAACGCAATTAATTTCTTGGCCAACATGTACAAACCTTATAAGAGGAGGAATGACTGTAACAAGGTCATTCTTATACGTCATTCTAAGATTCAATCCGCTCAAAGCTCCGTTGACATGTTCTGCAAATTCATGGTTACCAACCCTAGGCGAGCCAAAGGTTATTAAATTGACACGATGTCCGGCATTGACCAAATCAACTGCTGCCAAAGTCGCCATTGCCCCACCAAGTGAATGACCTGTCACTAAAACTCTAGCGTCGGAATGTTCATCAGATAAAGCGCTTACTTTCTCAAGCATTTGTTCTTTCAATGCGTTATAAGACTGAAAAAATCCAATGTGTACTTTGCAATCTTCGCAACCCGAATATCTTTCTTTGAAGAACTTGAGATTTCTATACCAGTCAGTAAGGTCGTTAGAACCTTGAAAAGATACAACGATTTTATTTCCTTCGTACTTGACAAAGCCTTTCACCCTCTCGCCGTCTTTCAACCTTGTTTCAGTTGGATTTACTTCTTGGTAGGCCTCTTCTGCATATAATGCAGCATTTCGAATCGCCGCCAATTTCTCGGGTGGTAAAGGACGAGTGTTCTTCTTGTGTATGACAGGTCCAGTTGTGGAACAAAATTTGCCAGTTGGGCACGTTCGACAAAATATTTTTCCTCTTTTGTCTTGATACGATCCGTTACGACACTTTACGGGAGATTTATTCTTCCAAAGACAAGAATGACCAACTGGACAAACTTTGCATTTTAATTGTCCAGTTTGAAGATTGTATTCTCCAAACTTACACGATTTGCAAGATGTTTGATTTGTTAGGTCTTGATATTTTCCTTTGCCACATTTTACAAAATGTGATGGATTATTTATCAAAGGACAGTAATGACCAATTGGTGCATCACAACCTGAAGACTGATAAGCTTGCACAAAAGAAGTTATACTTAGAAAAATTATGAAAATCGTCATCTTTTAATTTTTGAATCAAATCAGAGACGCATGCATATCAATTGACATTTATATACTCAGCATAAAGCGAGAGTAATTGCTCTATTGACTGGAACGGAGTCAAACAGGTACCAGTTCGTTCCGGTCACGGTCAGTAGTATCTAGGAAAAAGTTTTAGTCACGCTGTTTTTTTGATTGAGAGCCGTAGCAAATTTTTCCTGTACCTTTAATGTCATGATTTTAGATAAGTACATTCATAGTAGAGTAAGAATGTTAAATCTTAAGGAACATTGTTTAAATTGATGTTTTTTACAGGTTGTTCATTGTCGCAAGTTTTTTTACTTAGAAGCAGTGATTACGTACTTTAATGATTATTTTAATGACGTAACCTACGAAAACCTAAGTTTGAATGTAATCAGTCATGCATGTAGTCAGAAACATGAGAGAATCTCCAAACACTTCACACTTCACACGCGTTGTCTGGTATAAAATTTGCGTGTCTGGAATAAAATCTTGTCTTCTAAAAATTGTTAGACTTTTCTATTACAGGTAACGTACTGTTATGCATGGTAGCGTCTCTTGCTATGATCAATAAGGCCTGTTTCAAACGTCACATTTTAGATGAGCCGAATGCATTTAAGACAAAAGATAATAAGGATTTTATCACATTATCTTTTATTTTAAATGAATTTGGCGTACGTATTATTGATTTCTATAAAAATCTATTGTTTTTACAGTATAACTAAACATTGAAGAATTTTTATAGCACACGACCAAACCTGCGGGCTGGCTACGCAACAGGCAAAAATAGCTAAATATTTTCCTGATCTGCCAACTCCTACATGGTTTTGCTTTCCATACAGTTTACCTGACATTTGATGACCGTTCTTCCCCCTTGACGCAGGTCCCAAAACCCCTGTAATGCTAAAGGATCTTCTGTAAAACTTAAGTGTTAAGTATGATTGGGATTCGTACTGCTTAATAAATGCAAATATTTATGATTTTTTTTAAAAACATATATCCTGTTTCTAAGTCACATGTACAAGCATTTGATGCGTAACTGAATAAGCATGTGATCGATAAGTTTCCCTTCGATCTCAGCCGGATTAATTATAGGGATAGTATTTCTTCATGTTTTACAGCGTCACGGTGTTGAAGACTTTCAGGTATTCTTTACCTCATAAGTATTGATTTCTTGCGATAGGCTTAACATACTCATTTGAACTTTTTCAAATAGCTTTGACGACCAATTAGACTCCTTTTTGCTTTAGCTAGGTTTTCATGTTATACATGCTAGTGTCTACAAGATCTTAGACATTGAAACTAGTCCTGAACTAAAAGTCTCACAATAAATTTAAATATTGAAATATAAGATGGCCGACAAGCAACTGCAAGAGCGTTAAAATATAACTAAAAATATAAGTAGATTATACCTCTTACCGAATGAAATGCCACAACGTGGTTCACCAACACACTCTGAAGATACTACGAAAACACTTCAACTATCTTTTTTTGTGTTCACCATACACAATTACGACACAATATCAACGTACAGTGTTTTTCAGCTCCTTCTAAAGCAATTTCCATCAGGCTTCATTTAAAAAGCGTAACTGCATTGCATTTTATATATTTACTCAATAGCTAAAAACATGATAACCTGTTACCAGTTCAACCTAATCACACTATCACAAACCCTTTGTCCGATGCCCTGTTTATACTATATCATGTGCATATTACATAACATAACTAACCCTTATGACTCAATTAAAATGTATCATAACACAATTCTCATACATCTACTACATTAATCTATACTTCATTTTCTTATATTGTATGATACTTTTCCAGAAAATGGTCGACAATATTTTGTCTGACATGTGTTACATCTTGGTTTGCGCGATATTCGTGGCATTTGTCTTTACCAATACAATGAATTTCTTGACCGACGGGGATGAAGGTCTTAAAGACGCACAAGATGCGAAAAACCACTAATTTATTGTGAAATACGACACCCGCACAGCTTGAGACCATTTAGAGCGACATATCATTTGTGTACATAGAGTTTGTCAGTTTGATATTTTTATACTTGAATGAAAAGTGATGGCAAATTGTAAAGAGATCATTTCATTTCTTCTTCTCCAGTCGTTACTTATTAATTCCTATTTGTGCAACATCGTAAAACGAAAAGCACCAGAAGGAAAACTTTACGTATTTTCAAAAAGAGAAGGATGTGTGTTCGTACAAAGTGAAAGTCCTTGTACATTAAACTGGAAATTGAATCCATACATCGCCAAAGTTTACACACAGAAGAACAAGGTCGTTTCACATGCACTCAATTTCTATACTCAACGTGGCATTTCATCTTTGTGCAGAGATGCTCTTAAAGAAGCCTTATGTTCACAATGGACCCCAAGATGTTCAGAAAGCGACTACAGTCGAGATTATGGTGATGTTGCAAGGCTGTGTAACAACGTTTACTCTCGTTGTCCTTCAGTTCTGGTAAATGAGTTTATGAACCAAAAATTCTGCAAGATTCTTAAAAAGGGCAGACATTCAAACGGTCAGTGTGTTGCGAATACTGCACCCATCCGTGGTGCTTGTCCTCAGCCAAAGTATAAGGTACGTCAACACAAATATATATTAAAAGTAAACGATTTGCTGATCAACCCTTAAATTTTTGATAGGATATTTCGATATAATAAAAAATATTCTTATGAGTTATTTATATTATAAGTCCCATACATGAAGTCTCATGTTGATAAATAAAGGCTCTGAAATATATTTGTCTTAAATCAGAAAAATCATCGATCATCTCAAATGTTGAATTAATCTTGTGCTCTTGTAATCGAATCGTAATTTTTGACTGTATGTAAATTATCTGGACGCGCGCTCAATTAGGTTGAGGGAAACCGTATGTCCAGTGAAATTATTATGATTTCTATTACGTTAACCTTCTTTACTTCATATCGTGTTCTATTATATGCAGTGAGGCAGTAACACGTCATCAATGCCAACTCCCCTTTCTTTATGGATTCTACGAAAAATACAGGGCGCCGGAACGGCTTTAAAAGTGCACGGGGGGTGCGTAAGAGGAAAGTCAAAAATATAGAAAAAGGGCATTGAACTTTGTCTGGACAATTTTTTTGTATTATATAATTAATTGCTGTAAACAAACTTAGGTTGCAATTTAATTATGAAGCAGGCATTTTTCTAGAAATTAGAAATTCAAAATTTTTATAGATCAGATCACAAATTTGAAAGAAAGTAACTGGTGTGATTTTACCTAGATTACAAGAGTTTTAAGCTTTTTATTGCCTTCAATAAAATCCGTCACATTTAGTTGTAGAAATATAAACGCGTTGATTGACACCACAAGAATTCCGAGCATACACACGGTAGTTTCCAATTTCAGCGTAATAGATCCTTGAATACTTAGGGTTATTTAATGAAAGTTGCGTTTCAAGTTAACCATGCTGATTACTCGGCTTGAAGCGACTTAAGTTCTGTCGGAGTTTTTTTCGCACAAGTCATAATCACCCACGCAGCCACTTTAACTTTTTGCCAACAAAAACAATTTGTGTTCACATCACTCGCATATGATTCCTTTTAGATCATCAAATTGGCGTTAAAAGTAGCTCATTCAATTTCCAGCTTTTTCGTACTAACAGCTCAGTGATTTATTGTGCGTACTTTATCTCACATTGTGAATGTACGCCTTTTGAACGTACTCGGTCAGAACTAAACAATCGTGTACATTTTCTATGAGCTCGAATTTAGCGAATCCTCTGTACAGTAGCGGGTCCAAAACTCCAAGATACCTCAAAATAAATCTTATCTCCTCAATTTTATATTTAAACCACATTCAGAAAAAAACTATTGGTTGTTAATTTCTAAAGAACATAATTTTGCCAATGAATTTACCTCTAAAGTGTTTAGAAATGTAAATATACTCCAAAATGTGCTGCAGTAATTTATTTTGAGGTATTCTTAATCCGGCACTGCCTCTGCACTCATAGTTTTTATACTTGATCTAGCTCATGTATTTCAAAATATTAACCACGTGCATGTATAAAACTATCAAAGGTAATACTATCAGAATTGAGCAATTCGTGATGCACTACGGAAAATGAAGTGAATCATGCAAATAAGCTAAACATGCATGATATGTTCTAATAAGGAAAGGAGCAGTTGTTTTGTTTATATTTATCGAAATTGCAAGAAGAACCAAGTCCAAGTCTAGCTAAAAAAATATAATGTCTTCTCATACAAAAGAAATTTTGAAATTGGCTCGTAATTTTGATGGAAAAAAACGGTATGAAAGTAGAATAAATCAACCAACCATTGGCTTCATTCCTGTATTAATTGGGGCATATTCATATATTCTGCTGTGCCTGGCTATTTCCTTTTAAAACAATTTCCCTTATTAAAGAAATCAGCCTGGCATCACAGAATATATGAATATGGTCCCCCATCCATTTATTGCAGGATGGACACCAATGATACCAACAGTAATTCATGCACTTTAAATTTTCTGAGTGATAATTAAATCATGTAGTAAATTGATGGAAGACTCAGCTCTTTAGTCAGCTTAATGGTATTGAAATGAATCCCTTGTCCATCTAATGCAATGGCTGTGTATATAAATCCAATTGGATTTTAAAGGTGTTTGATTTTGTTTCAAGAGTTCCATTTGCCATTTGGCATGGCCAATAATGGTAGAAGTAGCTCATTGTTAGAAATAATTTTAGCTGTAAGCCTTAATTGTAAAATATTTTGAAAATATAAACAATCCTGCTGTTCCATTTGACCTTAGAGGCATTAAAATTTAGCGTGACATGTGTTCTGAAATCTACACATTAAAATTAAGTTCAAATTTTCAAATTGATGACAAAATTCAGACAGCCAAAAATGAAAAGTTAGATATCAGATAGCAAAATAGATTTTGCACAGCTTTCTTTAGTCTTGTGTTTTTACTCTGTATGGTTTTCTACTATTGAAAAAGGTACATACTGAAAAAGTCACACACTAAGTGCTTTTGCCAAAAATGC